TCACTATAGCATTGACTTCATGATTTTCCTAAGGGTGACAACACTTGCATAATTGTCTTTTGTTATTGAATGTAATTTAAATTACATTAATCCAACCCATTGTTCCTGGCTAATAGTTCTGATTTTCAAAGTAAATTATCATAATTAAACAAATATACTTTTATTTGCTTGTCACAAATAATTTACTAATTATATTAACATTTCAGGTTGTCCATTTCTGCAGTTGTGATGTCCTATCTTCAAAACCCACAGCCAATGACACCTCCATGGTCCAATATATAAACAGTTCTATATTATCGATTGTTTTTGGTTGAATGGAAATGTATAATTGCCTCACCATACTTGTATTAAAATTGTACTGCTGAATGATAGTGACAATATTAGTTTTAATAAACTAGCTAATGGTGCCAGGTTTGTATTATGATGTGCAATATGGAACAGTGCCAACATTTGATGATGTGCATGAGTTACAAAATGGCTTGGTTTGTTAATCTTTTAATTTGTGTAGCCTGCACTATATAATTCTTGTGTTATACTTCCCATCCAAAAGTTTCTTGTAAGCAGCTTGTCTTTTTTTTTCTTTAACAAATGGACAAACTTGTATTGTCCCATAACATTATCATGTCATTCATGCCAGTGTAAAAGGCAATAGCATGAAGGTCAAAGCTTGAAATATCCTGGAATATGAAGTACCATACGAGTTGATCCTCGAGTGACAACCACATTAGTACAGTAGATAGCCTCCATATTAGACATAAAAGGAAGACTTGATCACCACGTTAGAAATAGAAGAGTGAAAGGGAATTGGGAGTGGAATGGTAGGCAGTCAGTATGGGGGAAGGGAGACTTTTGGAGTACAGTACAGTACTGTCCATTCAGTAGAGCCAGGCTGTCACCTGATCGGATGACAGGCAAAGTTATCAGTCACTAGCACTGATTTTATAGTTTTCTTCGAGGTGACATCAACTGCATAATATCTTTTTGATCATGAAATTACATTAACTCCAACCAGTTACTGCTGGCTAATAATTCTTAGACATAAAGGAAAGAGGACAAATCGGAAGAGCATGTTAAGATAGGGCTACCTGAATAGGTTTCAGTTGTGGTTACTCCATCAGAGGGGCGTTCATGGGGATAAAGACAGATTCTACAGTAAATTGTTAAATCCTCTTTTAGGACTGCCTCCTCTTCCATTTTGCTTAGTTATGCAAAGTTGTTGTTTTATGGTTACAAAGGAAACATATCATTCCTTAATTTCTTATTTTGACTGTATCAGAATTTAGAATTTCTAAAATATAGTTACAGGTTGTAAGTACAGTATGTATAACAGTTTATACAGTACTATACTTAGTGTATAAAATATATATTAATGCAGGCCATATGTATTATTGTTAAATATGTACTTTTGTATTTCATAGTAAACCTTTTACCATAATATATAATTATCTTCTCCTTTCAATAGTGCATTTGTCATGTTGAATTACATATATAGTATATCAGGATTTTATCGGTACTACCTTGTTGACTGCGTGTTCCTCTCGTTACTATACTGTATACAGTATCTCTCCTTCCCATTACAGTATTATGCTGAGATGTATCAGTAAGGTGGTTGGGCTCACTGGCTCAAGCAAAGAATATTCACTATACAATACTATATTGAATATAAATTCAGTGGATTTTGTACTACATGGGAACCTGGTCCAAGATAGGGATTTTAATCTAGCCAGTGACCTGTACAATGAATTTGGCATCTAGATAATGCAGAATTCCTCCAAGACTGATAATTTTAAATTAATATTACTAAAAAATTCACAGTGCTTTTTCCATGGGATTTCTGCATCAAATTATGCACAAATGTATGTCCTATCATGTGCACAAATAAAGGGTGAATGCTGTGGATCTTGTTGTCCATTAAAATCTGTACAATAAAGCTTTCAGTCACATGCCATCCCTAAGGTGTGGCGTTGTTTACAATTTCCCATTTAGAATCCTTTCATTAGAAAGTATTTACACCACAGTATTGTATGTCGAACATAAAAAATATTAAATGTATAAAGATATTGTACACAATGTGATAAATCAATGATATAATCTTTAGAGCAGGACAGCACGATCGAACCAATGTTGTGGATAACCACAGATGTGCACCTTAACCCATGGACTAGGATGTGCAAAAAGTTACACGACCTGTTTTCCTGGGTTACGTAGTGTCTATTTTTATAATTTTTTAACAGTTATTTGTCATAGTAGCAATGAGTTAGTAATGGCTGCTCATCTGTAACTCTACTTATTTAATGTTCTACGGTCCCATCTCACAACCTTCATCAATCAACAGGTATACAGTTCCTGAATTTACCTGAGGGCCACTAACACGCTAGTGGCCTCAATGAGGACAGGAAGCCGGCAGCTTGTCAAACGTCACCCCCCCCCCCTCCCTTTGTCCTGATAATTCTTTCAAGTTGGATTTTATAGTTCATCAAAGTTATTGGCATTTGCGGCTTCGGCGGGTAGGCAGTTCCATGGGTGGAACCTTATCAACCCTGTTGGTGAAAATCTCCTGTTCTCAGTTCTACATTATAGTTTGTTGAGCTTAAAACCATTGCTCCTTGTTTGTGTTACCTCTGACATTTTGAAGAAATTGATAAACATCTTCCAACTTGTTTAGTATTTTAAGTGTCAATGAGAGATCCGCCCTGTCATGTTTGCAGTTTGATTTGGCAGCCATTGCCCTTTCAAGAAGAATGTCGTAATTGTAATCCCTCCCTTTAATACTGATTTATTCAATGACTGTCGTGTACATTTTGCATTAGTGCCTCACTCCTTATTTTCTCTATCATTCCACTTTCTCTAAAGCATATGACTTTTTCCCATTTTCAGTCATAATATTACCCATACTACGATAGTGTCAATTCCCACTCTTGGATAGCAAATTCATAATTTATTTTATAATTTGCACGATCGACAGACCTTGACCAAATATCTTATCCGAGAATCCCCAACAATCGAGATTTTCCTGTCTTCTTTTTTGCGCTCATTTCATAATCTTCACTACTCCAAACATTTGTCATATATAGACTTTACTGCTTTAGCTTCCAAAGAAAGAATAGCGCCAAGCCTGGAAGATCATCTTAAGTTGGCTTCCAGGGAAGGATATAGCTCTAATTTCCACACTACACTCTTCATCTTCAATCAGCTAAAAATACCAGGTAGCCATAGAGCATTAAGGGGGTCCTGTAGCACGGCGATCTACTTGTTCCAACTGGTAGACGGTTGGAACAAGTTAGGTGAGAAGGTGGTGGAGGCCAAGACGGTCAGTAGTTTCAAAGCGTTATATGACAAAGAGCGCTGGGAAGATGGGACACCACGAGCGTAACTCTCATCCTGTAACTACACTTAGGTAATTACTCAACTGGCAATCAAGGATGCCGGGTTTTATCCCCGGTTGTTGTTTAAGATTCAGCTACTCGGAACAAAAAGTTCCAAGTAGCACGGGCTACGGTGAGCCCGTGGTGGACTTACCTAGCACAGGAGCGGGGCTGTAACTGCCAACTTGTGATTGATTGATAAAGATTAAGCCACCCAAGAAGTGGCACGGGCATGAATAGCCCGTAAGTGGTGGCCCTTTTGAGCCATTACCAGTATCAAAAGATGATACTGGAGATCTGTGGAGGCTCAACTGCACCCTGCGTGACGGGAGATGTCTCCCGGACCAAATGGTGGCCAACTTGTGGGATTGGGTGGTTATAAATAGGAGCTGCCTCGTATGGACCAATAGGCCTTCTGCAGTTACCTTTATTCTTATGTTCTTAACTTGCACCACAAAACATATCATTGATGAGGCTAGCGGTCATGCAAAATTTGCATGACCATCATGCAGTTTGAGTCTCCGTGGTGTAGTGGTAAGACACTCGCCTGGCGTTCCGCGAGCGCTTTGTCATGGGTTCGTATCCTGGCCGGGGAGGATTTACTGGGCACAATTCCTTAACTGTAGCCTCTGTTTAACGCAACAGTAAAATGTGTACTTGGATGTAAAAACGATTCTTCGCGACGGGGATCGTATTCCAAGGACCTGCCCGAAACGCTACGCGTACTAGTGGCTGTACAAGAATGTAACAACTCTTGTATATATCTCAAAAAAAAAAAAAATACAAAAAAATAAAACTGCGAAGGATACACAAAACATAAATAGGTTTGTTTATTATGTATTTTGACTAATAAATAGACCGTATCCGGTGTAACTTCGTGTTATGCACATATAAACTAAAACCTTTTGACTTAAACATTTGATCTTAATGTACATCAGTATTTTAAAGGTTACTGCTGAATTACTTTAGTTGACACGTAGAACATCAAATTTTGTGTTTAGAACATTTTAAATACACGGATAACCACAACTGTTGTAGATCCTTGTTGAGGGGGGGTATATGATGGGTGTAATCCAAGGTAATGGAATGTCTGAAGGTAATTCAAGGTATGTATGCAGTTGGATGTACTGAAGGCAATCTAAGGTGTGTGCAGTAGGATGTACTGAAGGCAATCTAAGGTGTGTGCAATAGGATGTACTGAAGGTAATTCAAGGTATGTATGCAGTTGGATGTACTGAAGGCAATCTAAGGTGTATGCAGTAGGATGTACTGAAGGCAATCTAAGGTGTGTGTGCAGTAGGATGTACTGAAGGTAATCTAAGGTGTGTGCAATAGGATGTACTGAAGGTAATCCAAGGAATTTTTAGGGGACGAGATGCATATAAAGTAATCCAAGGGGTTGTCAAAAGGAGGGGAGTGATGTTGAAGGTAATTGTACGTAATAACTTCATGGGCACGAATGGGTATAATGACTCCTGACACCTAGTCATTATATTTTAATATTAAACCCAGTTTCGTTAATACTTTTTCAGGGAGTAATTATCAGCGTTTGTCACTCTTAATGATTCCGTTCAATAACTATATTTTGAATACAAGTATTGTATATATTAATACCAGTGTTGTCATATTACTGTTATTATTGTAATGACTTATCTTCTTAAACATTATATTCAATGTTTTCACTGTGTACAGTGAATGATTATCACACCATTCTTTTACGGGTTAATTTCACTTTTAAAGGCATTCTTCTCATGTTGAGTCGTAGATCATATATTAACAGACAAGACTTCACTAATCCTAAGCACAGGGACGTCTCTGCATAGTACAAGTGCCACAGTGAAGGGATATGTTGTTGATTAAGATTCGCTACCTGGAACAAAAAGTTCCAAGTAGCACGGGCTATGGTGAGCCCATTGAGAGAATATGTGAGAAATTTTCATAATTAAAGAGCGAGAGAGGTTCTACTGGGGAGGAGATAGTGAGGTGGTCTCCATGCAAGACTGTCCTCATTGCCCTCTGACACTCAGTGCTCGTCGCCTAGTATAAAGCGACTTCTTACGCAGGTCAGTAGAAAAGACAGATCAAGTTACAGCCCCCCGCTCCTGTGTCAGCTAAGTCCACTACGGACTTACCTTAGCCCGTGGTACTTAGAACTTTTTGTTCAGAGTAGCTGAATAAAAAAACAACAATAGAAAACGGAGCGAATTTACATACACTCGCGCTCAATCTAACCCTGAGTTTACGATTTCTGATTCACTATTAATATATGTCAGACTTGTAGCGCCTAAGATCTGTCAGGGGTTAAAGTTTATTTAAAAGAGTAAAAACTTCGTATATACCTACCCTAACCTGTACAATTCTAATGATGTGTGTAACAAAACATCAATAACCAAGAAGTTGGTATTTAGTCACCCAAAGCCTGAAATAGGAGGAGTAAACCCCCTTATACACGCAAGGTACACTAATATGTATTCTCTGTTGGCCTTCACTCTACAAACAAAATCTAACTAACCCTGTATTTAGTCATTTTTACCTCAAGAAATCGATGACAATGCCTTCCCTTATACTTTTTTCTATAAAAGTTTTATTTGTACAGAATAGTAGCCACTACGAGTATTCAGTGCGACACTTAATATTCTGTATTTGTGTATATATTTCTGAAATATATCTATCTATTACAGTATATGATAAAAACAAATCTAACCCAATTCAAGTGATGTAAAATGGCTTTTCTAATATTCAACTCGTCATATTACAACAAATGTATCAGTAGTAGTGATATGTGATTTCTTTCGGATCTCCAGTGTGTTCCTTTTTAATATAATTAATCATATTCTTGAGATATAGTTACAGTACGCTACTGATGAGAGCACCATTTGTTGTCGCGTTATGTCCTTCACCACCGTGAACTGGCGTGATGTGTTGGGGATGTGAACGAGAGGTCTCCGGGGTGTTGTGGCCGTTCGGGGCGGTCTCCAGTACGAGGTGTAAATGAGGAGACTCCGGGGTGTTGTGGCCGCTGGGGGCGGTCTCCAGCAGGGGGGTCAAATTGGTGTGGCTCATCTCTCCCTCATGCAGAGCGCGACGTGCACTCCTCTTCTGGTTCTGCATATATTTGTACCTGTTCTCCACGTCTTGCAGCGTCTCCGGCAGCGGTTTGTTGTTGGTCTCCGGAAGGAAGGGCACCAGGAGACTCCCTAAGATACCAGCACAGCCAAAGGTAACACTGACGGCCCACCAGGCGTACTCCTCCTGTACAGAGAAGTGAACGAATTGCCACTACGCATTTAAGTAAACATTAAACTTAAGACAAAGAAATCACAAATGCATGATATATCATTGATAAATTATTTGGAGCAATGGGGGATCTGAACCAGCATTCTAGTGAATGCCAGATGCTTCGACTTGATAATGGTCCAGGACGGACCGAAACGTCGTCGTCTCTTCAATTTATAGTGTGTGCTTTGGTCAACACTAGATGCTTGCCTTAACCCACTCGCTCATGATATGATAAAAGCTATTCAACCCGGAAGTCTACTGAGTACACTAAAGAGGTCTTGAGGCCTCAACTGGTGCCACAGCAAGGCTTTACAAATAGCCTGCCTATATTCTGGTCTGTGGATAATGGAGTTCTCCACCATACACCCCTTCTTCAGAACACAACGAAATCACAATGGCGTGATATATCAAGAATGGAGAGAACTTCATTACTCATGAGCCAAGGTGAAGGCAGGCTATTTGTAAAACTTGGTTGTGGCACCAGTTGGGGCCTCCAGACTCCCTAAATTTATTTATTTATTTATTTATTTATTTATTTATTTATTTATTTATTTATTTATATATACAAGAAGGTACATTGGGTTTGTGAGAATACATTGGATAGTACAGTATTTACACTCTTGTAAAGCCACTAGTACGCGCAGCGTTTCGGGCAGGTCCTTAATCTAGCAGATAATGATTAATCTAGCAGATTAATGTACTTATTAGATTTCAGAGTTGAACAGCTTTTGTCCTATTATGACCGAGTGGATTAAAACTAGCGTCTGGGGTTCATTAGAACGCTGGTTCAAATCCCAGCATTGCTCCAAATAATTCTCTCAAACTTAAAACGTCAAAAACGAAGAGAGAATCTCATAACTCTAGCCACTGAAGACCAGCAGATGCCCAAAGGAAGTAAACGGTGAAATACTGTATTATGTTTTGTTTAATATGTTGAAATTGATGCCAGAGCAGCTAGGGTACGTGAAGCCTCCTGGCGTCAAGGTGAGGCACTTCAAGCGTCATCTCTCACTACATTGTTCAAGTATGTTTATTGAGATAAGCAATAAATACATCTCAAAGGGATAGAGTAGCTTAGGCTATTTCTACCCCCCTATATCTGTAACTACATTGGCGCAGTCACCTCATTGGTTGAGGTGACTGCGGCTTACGCTTCATGACAATTTTCATTAAAGAAATGTAAGGGTTTTGCTTATAAATCCTTATAATTACCAGGACTTGACATCTGTCTGGCTATTATTATTTAATAAATGATAAATCTTATTATTATACATATAAAATCTTAATTTTTGAAGAATTTTAGAGCATGTGGCACCACCATCGCACCAAACGAATATAATTTAACCAAAATATTAAGTCCTAGACCTTCTTTGACATTTTCTTAATTTACCCTTGCTCATTTTATACTTTCTCTAAATCCATCAAAAATTGCAAACGTAAAATGAAGGTGTAATGGTTTATCCACATTCCAGGCACTGAGAGAACTGACCAGGATGTGGGTGATGAGAGGGGCGCAGGAGAAGCCCACGCTGCCCAAGACGTTGACGAAGGCAAACCCCCTCGCCCGCGCCTCCGTCGGGAAGAGTTCGGGAGCGTACACGTAGTTCACCTGCAGTCCCACCAAGACGGCAGGGGCGGGAAGAGGTTAAGGCGTTAGTCTGAGAGGAAGTATGGCTGTTAGAGATAGGCAGCAGGCAGGCAAGGCAGCTCCATCAGTTACAACCCTGCTCCTGTGCCAGGTAAGTCCATTATGGGCTCACCATTGCCCGTGCTACTTGGAACTTTTTATTCCGAGTAGCTGAATCTAACACAACAACAACGAGGCAGATTCTAGAGCACTTACCTGGAAAGCTCCAGCCACCAGCAAGAAGCCGATCATTACCACGACCCAGTCAACCCAATAGTACTCAGAGTCTGCAGTGAAAAGACCCGTGCGCTGCATCAGTGACATCTTACACGTGGAGTTCTTAACGTACTTTTCTTGCACATCATATTCATTGTGTGTTTTAAGTGTATGTGTTGCTATTAAAGATAAGAGGGAGGGGGGGTTGGATTAATAGGATTTAGGCCAATAAGGCACTTAGCACTAAAACCTTATACTTGTGTCTTTAGTTGCTGGGGTATTGTTGGAAAGATGAGCTGTTATGAATTTAAGTACCCACTTAAAACTGTTACTTACAGTGTGAATTAGAGTTTTAAGTTCTAACGTTTTTCTTCTTTTGGGGAAGGATAACGAGGACTGCAAGGAAATACGTACGCTTCAGTAGGTATGTACTTTACCTGCTGAAACAAATACACACACACACACACACACACACACACACACACACACACACACACACACACACACACACACACACACACACACACACACACACACACACAAACACTTACACTTCCTAATGCAAATGGAATGCATTAGGAAGTGAAGTGGTGGAGGCAGACTCCCAACACAAACAACAACAACATGTGTACAGTATAACATAAGCACCATATGGAAAATTAACAAACATAAGAACACCATTTAAGAATTTAAACATGGTGGCTTTTTAAGTCCATACACACTACCTATGTGAGACAATTATTTCAGTATGTAGCACCAGCATGAAACCCCCCAATCCTGTGAAGCACAAAAAAGTACCCTGAGAAACTGCAGAAATTTGCAACTAAATTAGTATCGGAATTGAGAGGACTCGGCTATGAGGACAGGATGAGGAAACTCACCCCTCACACCCTTGGAAACCAGACTGGGTATAACTAGTAAAATGCTGGGAAGGGTGAGAAGAGATCTGTGACAGGAAAGAGAGGGTAACGGTGGGAGAGCAGTTGGGGAGTTACGAGAAGAGAGAAGAATCCGTACTATCCGGTATCAGCCTCAAGCCGTCGTGAGGGTGAGCACCTCGATCGACACTCTCAAGTCGGACCGAAACCTCGTCATTTTCTTTATTTCCAGATGTGTGGGGTTGGGTGTCGAATTTTCGCCCCGTTATTGTGACTTGCTACATATGTAGCCTTGTTAATAAAATTAGGAACGAGAGTATCGCAGGAGCCGTGAGAGATTTTGAATCTACCCTTTTGAAAACCAAAAAGTACTTAATTTCATCCTCATAGTTTCCTACAAAGTGCTTCAAATTCGCAATGTATCTTTTATTTACCCACTCCCTCAATATTTGTACCCAAGATATGCAACTTCATCATTTTTAGATTAGATTTGCCCGAAACACTATGCGTGTTATAGTGGCTTTGCAAGACTAAAAATATCAATGTTATGACCTCCCACAAACCCAATGTACCTTATTGTATCTAGAAATAAATAAAATAAATACCAGCGGGGACGAAGAGCTCGAGCATGAGGAAGACGCCGCCCATGCCTAGGCCGACCCAGACCATGATGCGGCGGCCCAGGTGGGCGGTGAGGGGCGTGATGATGACGATGGCCAGCGCCTCCATCACCCCCGTCAGCGCCAGGTACAGGAAGGGGTCGGAACTGTGGAAGGAAACGGCTAAAACTGATCCAGCTTTATTGGGCACATGGCTTTGTGTTCACAATCGACTTGAGAATGGTCCAGGACGGACCGAAACGTCGTCGTCCCTTCACCTTCTAGTGTGTGGTCTGGTTAATTTTGTGTTCTAGCTACTTCTTCATTTGTGGTATACAAGAGCTGATTGGCATACGAGAGGCTGACCTGGTGAAGTTGTTGGCGTTGATGACGACGCCGAGGTAGAGGCAGCTCTGCAGGAACCAGAGGGTGGGAGTGACGATAATGATGGTCCTCATGGCCGGGGCCCGCAAGTACGCCCACATCTGCTGCAGTATGGCCGGCAGCGGGCAGGGTCCAGGGGAAGGCCTGGACGAGGACGAGGCCTTGCTCTCCTGCTGGTGATCCAGATCTTTCAAAACACGTTCACCAAGGGAGGAAAAACAAAACACAAAACGCAAAACAAAACAAGCCACAAGCCTAAGCAAATCAAGACAGCTAATAAGAAACACAAACAAATTAAACCCATGATAACGGAGAAGCACACTTGCACATTTTGAGGAGAATGTTACAATAATGTGTTTGATTATAATAAACCCAACCAACACAATCAAATGAGAGTGACGACGTTTCGGCCCATCCGGGATGGACCAAAACTTCGTCAATTGGACGAAACAAAAAACCTTGTCAAAACCTACACATACAAAACTGTAGTTTCGTATGTGTAGGTTGGGTTGTTTGCAACCTTTGTTGAAAATATTAAGAGTTGTGAGCCTCTGAGATCATCTGTGACCTGGCTGTTACATATACATACAGACAACACGCTTATGTCAATGACTGATCAATCTGTGGGGGTTACCTTACCTTACCTTGAGGGTTCCGGCAGGTATTACGAGGGTCTGTGAATAATGGCGCGAAAACTTTTTAAACCTTTTCTCAGATCTTGAACTTTAAGCTTAAAATACAATAAAATAAAAGATTTCGGTGCATGACAGATTGTCTTGGTGTGAAATTCGACAAAGATCTATGGTCACGTAGTGCGGATGTTATGGCTTCGAAAGTATCGTATATAAAATGAAAATGGCAAGAGTTATTGGTATAATAAGGTTTTGGTAAATGGATTTTTCATCTGCTTGCGTTTTAATATCTACACTAGTCACTCACGTTAATATATGAACTAGTATCCAGACGTTAAATGATTTGCTTGTTATGTTTTCAAACAATACAGCGTCGTTGATTTTAGCACCTCAGATCTCAACCTACTCCACTACGCCACCTGATTTTCATTTGAGAGACACTGATGATTGGAGCTCTGCAAAATGAATTGGAAAGGCCTGTCACCTATTACTGTCAGCCCGTCTTTATTTTTTGTTACCGAATTGGGTAGTAAATAGGAAACACAGCGAGGAAGAGGCTAGTCTGTGCCTACCTGTACCATGTGGTCCATGAGAGTGGCGAGGCTGGCGCTCAACTGCACCTTGTTCTGCCTGAAGGCCTTCTGCAGCACCAGGGCGGCCTCCTCCAGCCTCGCCTGCTGCACCAACCAGCGCGGGGACTCGTCCGTCAGACTGTCAAGACACCGTATACACTTGCTGGTTAAGTCTATGTATGTTTGTGTGTGTATTCACCTAGTTGTTCTTGCGGGGGTTGAGCTCTGCTCTTTCGGCCCGCCTCTCAAATGTCAATCAATCAACTACTAACTAATTCCCGCCCCCCCCCACCAGGAAGCAGCTCCATAACAGCTGTCTAACTCCCAGGTACCTATTTACTGCTAGGTAACACGGGCATTCAGGGTGAAAGAAACTTTGCCCATTTGTTTCTGCCTCGTCCGGGAATCGAACCCGAGCCAGAGAATTACGAGTCCTGCGCGCTGTCCGCTCAGCTACCAGACCCCCTACCTGTAGGGAGTCTGAAGACTGAGGACTGAAGACTGTTCATCTATCTAAAAGAGAATGTTTGTCTGTTTGAGATTGGAGACCAGACGCTTGGACCAGTCTCACGAAACTTCCCATGAATGATTGTGATTTTTATTGGGAATGTCACTGAGGAATCGGGTCGGCCCACTGGTGTCTCTTGAAGGGGGCACAGACTCAATGCCCCCCTCCTTCAACAACCGTGGATGTGAAATGTTCGGCACCGAGTCCGTAGACTTTATAATTGGTTTAAATAATAGTCAATTCAGATATTGGTTCGCAAAACATATATTCAGATAACAGATTTGCGTTCTGTGTGCAACCTTTTAATTACAATGATGGGGAATATGATGAGGGGTTTGTAGGGGAGAAACAATTTTTTCTCGTATAGACGTGTATACGGGAAGATGGGGAGGGTTTGTTGGGAAGACTAGAGGACCAGATCGTCCCGGGCACGGCCGGGTACCCCAGCTACTATATTATATAATTATTATTATATTATACTAGAGGGAGTGCCTAGTGTTGCTCGAGTGACAGAGGCCACTCATGTCAGCCTCGTTGACAGTGTTAACCCAATGACTGTCAACCGATTGACCGTGTTGATTATGTGACTGCTTCAACCCAGCATAGGGGCCGGCACTGGGTAGCTTATGACTGCCCATAGTCATAAGCTTCATAAAGTATATGAAACAGTACGCACATACGCTACAGTAGATGGGACTCGACAGCTGGGAAGGCAGCTTATCTGGGGGAAGGAAAACCCTGACTTCAAAACCCGCTGCCTCGCAGCCATACCCACTTTAGGACGGACTTCAGGAGTCAACGTCGAAGAAAAATCAGGAGTTGGAGCTCCTAAGGCAGTTCGTTGTTGAGTTCAACCTCGTTCTGCTTTGCCTTTCCATTGGACAATTTCAGCATTGTGGAGAGGGGAAACCTGCTGCACGGGCAACAGCTTCTCATCCATATAGATATACCCTGCCTTTTCACCCTGGAGAGGACATTCTGTCTAGACAACCAGAGCACAACTCCATTGCCTCCCGAGACTGCAGGATGCCTACTCTAGTCATATAAATCTAGGGTCTCTACAAGCCACATTCCACTGATTTCACGGTGGTGGGTCGCTATGGGATCCATGCCTTCCTTGTGATAGAATAAATTAGACCAACCCATGCTGGGCACGTACCCAACAGCAATCACTGTGTAAAGTTGGGTGAGGATAGCTCCAAGCGATTGGCATCCAACCTCGACCAGACATTCTATTTTATTGATATAGATACATTAAATTTATACATAATTATTGAGAGAAAGGAAAGCGTACTCACAGAGCGACCGGGAGGAGGATGAGGATGGGGGAGGAACAGACCAACAGGAGTGGGCGCCAGCTTCTAATAAGGAAGCCGACCCCAGCGAAGCCCATAGTGCTGGCGGAGAACGGCAGCCCCAACAGCATCCCCACGCGGCTCCTGCAGCCCGCTGGTGTCGATTCCAGGGCTGTAGAGGGAGACAGAGAGCTGTGGGAGACCCCAAGGCTATAGGGGCAGACTAATACAGGTCTGTAAGGGTAAACAAGGAGCTGGTGTCCCCATACACACAAAATATTTATACACATAGTGTATACATGTACACGCGGGGTGTGCGACCCAACTTACCCAATGCAAACCATCAGTGACAGATGTTGCATGATCCAAGTATGCAACAACCTAAAAGCAGCAGTACATTACCATAATATTAATATAGTAACCTATAATAAATCCCATAAGGACTAGCGTATAGTTGACGGTTTGTCAATAGGCTATTGTGTTGGCCTTGACACGCTTACCAAGGGTTGGCCAGAAGTCCAGCCCCCACAACCCAATCTAATATTAGTATTCACATATTTTTAAAACATTCGATAAGTTTGTTTCCTTATGAAGTCTCTAGTACCCAAAAATATTATAATGAATATAACTAATAAAATACGAAAAGATCAATGATGGAGTCAGAGTTTGTCTCCTGTGGATTCCTTCACATAAATTGGTCTCCGAATGCATGACAGAATTAATGAGTTAGTCAAAACAATTGCTCGTAAAGGGGGAATTGATTACCTTCTTGGATTGCCTTTGATTAGCCTGAGAGCAGCAATATACAGGGAATTGCAACAAAATCTAGTAGACATACGGCAAAGTGATATTCACACCAGTCTATCATCATTCTATTATGCAGGAAGAACCGCACGTCTATGGGTCATCCAATAAAGTTAGCAGACTTCTAGATGTTACCACTATACTAGGCTTAGACGCGGCTACAAGCACCTCTGGGAGTTACATGACTGTAAAGCTGCAAAAATAAAGAGGTATGGAATGCGCAATAAGTATATCTAAACAAACTTACTGAGGCTCCAGGCGGGGACAAGCATGGCCATGACGCTGCAGCCGGCCACGAAGCGAAGAGTGACGAGGAGCGGGAAGTAGGGCGTCAGGGCCATCGCCACCACCACCAGGAGGTTGGCCACACACGCCCCTACCACCGCCCGCCGGCGACCCCACCTGCCGAACACACAAACATCTCCAGCGACGTGTCTAAGGGCGCGATCAATGCCCGGACTCACGGCAGCAACGCTCGGTGATCGATATATATACATGATTGCATACCTTGATGCTCGAGAAATGTAGATGTTATTAATTATGCAGCAAAGTGGGATACAAAGAGAGCTGGAAATACACTTTTGTTTGCATATATAGTGAAAACGTTTGTGTAAAAAGTTGACACATATACTATTTTGTTTACATATGTAGTGTTGTACGGCACTGTAGAACCCACTAAACAAGTGTGACCAATTGGAATAAGCTTGTACGAAATAATTTATAAATGTTCATCACTGTGTGTGTGTGTGTGTGTGTGTGTGTGTGTGTGTGTGTGTGTGTGTGTGTGTGTGTGTGTGTGTGTGTGTGTATGTGTGTGTGTGTGTGTGTGTGTGTGTGCATGCGTGCGTGCGTGAGAGTGTGAGAGAGTGTATGACGGGGGTTGGACTGTACCTGTCACCAATGTGGCCGCCCATGGTGCTGCCGAGCATGCCGCCGAGGGTGAAGAGGGTCTGGAAGAGAGGCCGCAGCACGCCCCTCTCACACACCAGGTCCCACTGCAACAGGTCCCACACTTGGTGCCGAAACAATTACAACAATCAGCAAAACATACGAGCCTCGAGGGCAATGAGAGAGAGAGAGAGAGAGAGAGAGAGAGAGAGAGAGAGAGAGAGAGAGAGAGAGAGAGAGAGAGAGAGAGAGAGAGAGAGAGAGAGAGAGAGAGAGAGAGAGAGAGAGAGAGAGAGAGGGTAAGAGAGAGAGGGAGTGTAAAAGAGACCAAGAGAGTTTGTGTGAGAGAGAGAAATATATATAGATATTTATGAACATCTCTATCATTACATATGAAAACCAGCCATTATAGGGGGGTTGTTCATGCGTGCTTCCTATATCGCTTAACATATATGATCACCGTTTACATTTGATATTAATAAAATAATCGCAAAAGTTGAAATTATTTTATTTCAGTATAACATAAAATCTCATCCATTTTTTATTGTTCTTATTCAAGTTCCAAGTGATGATCCAAAAACACGCACACATCACTTATACAAATCATATATACAATCCTATATCATATATAAGTGTTATTGTAATTAATATGGGTTCTTTAGCCAGTCCTGTGTTTACAGTACTTACCCGGCAGAAGGATGGCATATATCGCATCAAATCACATCACATAATTTATATTATACTTTTGTATTAAAAGAACCAGTCACACAAAATATTAAACTTCAATTGGAAATTGGACAACAAATTATGTATATATATATGTATATATATTATATATATATATATATATATATATATATATATATATATATATATATATATATATATATATATATATATATATATATATATATATTATTAAATATGACCGAAAAAGTAAGATTAATAATTCTAACACGAATTTTCTCAATCTTTCGTACATTACGCTTCACTGTTGGAGGTAAATCAAAAATCACTTCTCCAAAATTCATTTTTATTTCTAGTCTGACGCGACACGGGCGCGTTTCGTAAAACTTATTACATTTTCAAAGACTTCACAAATACACAACTGATTAGAACTTACGTCTCTCTGATATTATATCTACATTTGAGTGAGGTGGGAAGGATGATGTGGCATTAACACAAGACAGAACAGGGGATATTAATAGGGTATTAAAAGTATCAACACAAGACAGAACAGAAACAATGGGTATTGAATAGAAGTGTTTGTAGAAAGCCTATTGGTCCATATTTCTTGATGCTTCTATATTGGAGCGGAGTCTTGAGGTGGGTAGAATATAGTTGTGCAATAATTGGCTGTTGATTGCTGGTGTTGACTTCTTGATGTGTAGTGCCTCGCAAACGTCAAGCCGCCTGCTATCGCTGTATCTATCGATGATTTCTGTGTTGTTTACTAGGATTTCTCTGGCGATGGTTTGGTTATGGGAAGAGATTATATGTTCCTTAATGGAGCCCTGTTGCTTATGCATCGTTAAACGCCTAGAAAGAGATGTTGTTGTCTTGCCTATATACTGGGTTTTTTGGAGCTTACAGTCCCCAAGTGGGCATTTGAAGGCATAGACGACGTTAGTCTCTTTTAAAGCGTTCTGTTTTGTGTCTGGAGAGTTTCTCATGAGTAGGCTGGCCGTTTTTCTGGTTTTATAGTAAATCGTCAGTTGTATCCTCTGATTTTTGTCTGTAGGGATAACGTTTCTATTAACAATATCTTTCAGGACCCTTTATTATATATATATAGTATATATATATATATATATATATATATATATATATATATATATATATATATATATATATATATATATATATATATATATATATACTACTGCTTCTTGGAACATGTGTCTAGAAAATATAAACTGGAAAAGATCAAGGTAAATGGTGGGACCTTCGACAAGCCGCCAGCTTCCTATCCTCGTCGAAACCACTAGTGATAGTGGATCTCAGGTAAACTCGGGTAAATGTCTTCATTAGCAGTGTTAATATGGGCTTTAAGAGACTCAATGAAGGTTTTTGGCATCAATACCTAAAGAGGCGTTGGGACCAGTCGATGAAAACAGTAGTATGTAGCCTAAACAGTAGTATCATGTTTCAGTCGATGAAAAGTTTTATCATGTTTTCCTGCCCGAAACGCTTTGCGTAATAGTGGCTTTAGGCATTGTATGTACTAGCTCTATCTATAAAGCCAACAAACTTTGTAAAATCTCTTTATGTATGTACCTTACCTAAATAAAAATTATTATTATTATTATTATAAAACAGTAGTATGTAGCCTAAACAGCAGTATCATGTTTCAGGCTGAAGTTCTGTTTGATGTATACTGAGTTTGCTGCTGGTGAAGAGGGGCATCTCTTGAAAGGAAACGAAGTCAAACGTCTCTGTCCTGCCACGTTAATCAAACCCGAAACCTTTCGATTATGAAGCAACTACGTTGACTACTGCGCTACAGGACCCACGTCTCCTAACCACAAGTGTGTTATACTAAAAAAAATTCTTACACCGTGTATGACCACAGGGAAATTTTCCTTGACTGAAATTATTAAATTAATACGGTACATAGAAAATTAAAAAAATTTAATTATTGAGAAAAATGGGTACAACAAAAGTGACAATAAATTAATTTAGTTTCAAAGAGTAATATAAAGACTCAGGCCCTTGAGTCTTCAGGCCTAATATAAAGCTACACGGCCCTTGTGGATTTGTTCATTTGATACATCACGCTATTGTGATTTCTGTGTGTAATAAAGACTCAAATCCGGCGGGATCTATGAACTCGTTGGATCAGCACTTTAGTACGACAATTTCTTGACGTTGGGAAGTCTTTGATGAACTATTCGACTTCTCCGTGCACACATATTCTCACATTAAGTATGACCAACATATAATCACGTACCTTATTTCTTTTAATTTTTGTAAATATTTACAGATGTGATAAATTTCCGAAAAATTGTATTGCAACTTATCAAAATACATCGTACTTGAATAAATTATCTTGGGAAGTTGAAGGAAGTCCGCACCACCTGAGTGTATAATGTATAATGTAGACTTCTTACCTCTGATATAACAGTAGATGTGAACACGGTTGTGTCATACTGGATTAAGGGGCACGATGGAAGACCAGTAATGCGCCATGCAGTGGTGGTGGTAGGTGTGGTGGTAGGCGCCGCAGTGGTTGTGGTAGTGGTGATGGAGGCTCCACCACTGGTTTCACGGGTGGTGGTGGTGAATTTGTTGACAGTGGAAGCGGCGTCGATGGTGGTGACGATGAATGGGGCGGTGAGGTTGGTGGTAGTAGTGGTGGTGGTAGGTGTGGCGTTGGTGGAGGATGGGAACAACAGACATTTTTCGTCGAAATCAGACGACGGCTGCCACATCGAACTCACGTTACTGTTGAAGCCATCAGAAACATCACAGTTTGTCACAAAAGCACACATACACCTACATAGGTCACATAAAGGCATACAGGCTCAAATACAAAGGTCGAATATACACACACAGGTTCAAATACACAGGTCACGTAGTTCAGTACCGTCACAGCCACTCACCTAAGAATGGGTGGAATCAGCGAACAGCGGTAGGGTAGAGGCGCACACAGGAGAGGAGAGCCAATCAGATGAACGGAGAACTGCGACATGGCTGCCGAGAGGTAAACATGAACAAGTTAAAAGATAAATGCAGCTCACACAACGCCTTAAACATATTAGTAAACACATATTTACATTTACTGTAAATGAAAATCGAGAGAAGAAGTCAAAACAATGAATCCAGCACGAAAGCCACTGTACAGTCTTAGTAATATGTAATATAAATTACATTAATTTCCAAGCTCACTATATAAAAAATTCCATCCTCTAGCTTATCCTTTTACAAGGGTAAAAAATCCATCCTTTTACAAGGGTAAAAAGCTTCAGTGTAATCACCACTATGTCTAAAAATAATTTTAAGGCAACAACTATAAATCTGGATCAATATTCGAGATGTTCCGGAAGCATAGCTTTCAGGGAATTTGTTGTCCCTGCTGCTGCTGTTGGATTTTTGCTATTGCTCTTGGTCCAGATTCACGAAGCAGTTACGGAAGCACTTATGAACGTCTACATCTTTCCTCAACCTTTGACGGCTTTGGTTACATTTATTACATTTGGTTACAGTTTACAAGCATGAAAACTTCCCAATCAACTGTGGTAATTGTTATAAACAGCCTCCTGGTGCTTCGGAGCTCATTAACTGTTTAATAATTGTAAACAAAGCTGCCAAAGATTGAGAAAAGATGGACAGGTTCGTAAGTGTTTGCGTAACTGCTTGGTGAATCTCGCCCCTTGTTGCTGCTTCTGCTAGTGCTGCTTCTTGGGTCGCCAGCCAGTCTGGGTGCGCACTTTATAATGGTTTAGCATCCTTCTCTTTCAATGTAAACATTTTAGTAAGATTGACAGATATCAAATGTCCTTGGGAGGAAAGCAAATCTCTATGATCACATTTATAATAGATTAATCTTTTATTTTCAAAAGAATTAAGGTTTTTGTTTTTGTAGGTTTTTGAATAAAGAACTGTTTTCTTTTTATACTAGTTGTACATGATTGAGTAGGACTACAGTGCTAGAATGTGGACTAAATACTTAGTCAAATCCGTGCTTAGTTTAGAAGATATTTACCCAAAACATTTAAAAAATGTCCAATGTAACTCACACAAGGGACATCAGCTTCAAACACAACACTCCACAAAGTAGCGCCAAAAAAAAAAAAAAAACAGTAAATGCTGTTTTCACCATTCTATATCTATAAAAGATAATGTGTAAGTGGCTGTCCAAGCTTGGAGGGCAGATGCTTCGGGTTAGCCTCACTCAACTTTGCATGGGGAAATGGTCTGGGGTACGGGACGAACATAGGCTAGTCGAGGTCGCTAGAAATCAAGAGGGAACCGTGTGCCAGGTCACATTCTGACCACGACGAATTTTGGCACTGCCAAAAAGACTACACATTACTAAATAACGTGAAAACAAAAATGTCAAACTAAATTCTGTTCTCATGGTAATATACATCATTATTCGTTGATCTCGAGAAAAATAATTTCTGCTATTCTTACTTTGGCTGAAGTAGCGTAAAACAGATGATCCTCCCACAGCTTCAAATGCTTTCTCAAGCCCCGCCCTTTACTCAAAGGATATGGGTAAGTATGGTATTTTTTAATATTGTACACCACTAGGCTCCTTACACTGGCGGGCCCACCTAAACGCTAATGGTAGATTATTGTATTACTTTTATAAGAGAGAGAGAGAGAGAGACAGAGACAGTAAGTGAAAAGAGAGACAGAGAGAAGGAGGCAGACAGATGAGAAAGACAGATACATTTGCAGAGATAAAGAGACAAACATAAACAAAGATAGGCACAGACAATATACAGACAGAGGCAGTAAAATACAGACAAATACACAGAGACAGAGATAGGGGGTGAAGGAAGGAAAGGGCGGACTGTTTGAAGAGAGGGAAGAAGAGAGGTGAGAGAGGAGGAAATAAGGAGAGAGGATGGAGAGGGGCGAGAAGTGTGAGAGGGGAGAAAGGTGGAGACGGAAAGAGAGAGAGAGGGGATAGGGACAGAGATGATAGAGAGTGAGATTGGGAGAGGGGGGGGGGGAATGAGGAACGGGGGGTTGGGGGTAAAAGACCCAGGCACAACCAGGTACGTCCCTCTAGTAGAAAAATAAACAATGGAATCTCCAGTTCAAATTTCAGCTGGAAAAAAATCCTTATGTTCGCACAGTCAAGATGAAAGGCTGTTCACAGTGGTGCTGAAGAAGGTCTTCAACACCCTCAGTTGCACGGGCTCACCATAGCCCGTGCTACTTAGAACTTTTTTCTCCAAGTAGCGAATCTTAAACAACAATAACAACAACAACCCTTAGTTGACCACATACAGGAATAATATAGAATACTAAAGTCTAACCCAACAAAATTACATGGCTGCAGAAGAAGAATGAAGCCCATAGGCATCTCAATTAACTTAAATTAACGTAACCTCTACGCGTCAACAATTTAAAACTGGAAGAGGTAATTAAGGGTATATGTTTTGGGCAGTTAGTGTCACGCATCGTGAGCCAGTGCAATTATGTATAACATAGGATTGATGACCATTGGAAAGGGTCAGTAAAATATGCGTAGAGAAAATTCTATTTTAGTAAAAGTAGTACAGAAATACTACCTTTACTACCTCTACTATTATCAGCATACTCTAAGCCTTTTTAGACATCCACATACAAAACGATTTCTAAGATCCTTAAAAAAATGGGAAATAAGACACTTGTGGGCTCGCTCTGGGCCAAGACCAGCGAGCACATCTAGTATTAAAGATTTGGTGATATTCTGATCAATACTTGTCACGATATTGTGCAAAGATGAGATTCCTTAGACGATAAAAGAATTACATTCATGCATTTTTAGGCTACACAAAATGACACCAGGGCTGCTGAAGTTATCGACTGCAAACTGTCTTGTAAAAATAAAAAAAATGGATAACATCTTCGGGTATGATATCCCATGAACACGCAAATCCAACGATACCCCACAACGGGTGGGGAAGTTGCATTCAATTTAATTAAGTTACGGTGAGTAATGGAGCAATTTGTGTCAAGAATAATATACCTATATTTTACCACAGCCTATCATTGTGTTCTTTCACGATGACGTCAGTTGCCTCGACCAATCACAGCAGAGCAGGACAAGATATGGATTTCCTTACCCTTGTCTGGCCTAGTTTTTTTCCCCTCAGGATTAAACTAGAGAGACGGTAGGCATTACGAGGTAATGTTGTTATGATGAAGGGACAAGACATGCATGCTGCGTCCTCTGAAGCATTCACGGTATGGAGACCCGTCCAGTCATCGTACTCCTGAAATATACATTTAGAGGAGGCCTGCACATACCCACGAATACATGTAACCTGCAGATCTCCCTGTCACGCTAGTTGTGACGGATAGTCTTCCTGGCGCCTGACTCCATTAATATATGATGAGCTGATAGCCTAGTTTACGGTCACACAAGTGGCATGATGCGTATGTGTATATTCTCACATATATATATTTTTGCGGTGCTTGTGTTTTGGTAATTTCGTCCTCTCAACTTTTAATCAAATGGTGTTAAGGTTTCTGAACCTACCGGGCTCTGACACTGAAACTTATTTATAAAGCCTCTGTAGCTAATTTGTGTACTTACATTTCCAGCGTCGTTCCCTTTTTCTTGTACCAACCTTGCTAATATTGTCCTGACTATTATCATGAGAATTTTGTATCTGGTGATCATGTTACTCTTGTTTCTTTTTCCTGTGACGTGATGTTTAATTTCTTTAGTATTTCCTCGTAACTCGTATCTCTCAGCACCGGGAACAGTTTGATTGCATACATTTTAGTTTTCTCCAACCTATACGAAATTTGTCTGATGTGCCAGCTGTAATAATTCCACATGCTACTCACTCACTTAATACCCCAGCTTAACATTACTTGCAGCTCACGGTGACCCTCACTGAACTCCCAACTAATATTAAACTGAAATATTAAATGGGGGGGAAGCAACAAAATGAAGGATTATTAATTTTAAATAATAATAATACTTAAACTTACACTGCCACCACCTTCCTGAAAATCTGAATGTGTCTTGTCACGGTAATCTCTCTAGGAAGAGATTCGGCCTGCTCCATCATCACCTATTCTAGCATATCACGTCTATATATTCAAGAACTACAGCCACAAGAGCAACAACTACTTTCCAGACGTCTAGACAGTACCACCAGTCTTCCCCTACACCACGGCCCGTCACCCCACCTCACCTGGTCGCCGGGAGCTCACGCCACCGGGCGAAACAAGCAGTTAACGAGCTGGTTCCTAGTTATCCAAGACTACCAGCGCCACCTGGACCGCCGCCGTTCCATATATATAGGGCTACGTAGCCTACCACGATTCAGATTACTCCTGAGTGCTCTACTGAGTAGACCTGTTGACATATCTCGGTATGGTAGCAGGTTTACGCAGTCTGGCTCATAGTATATCTAGCACCATATTTTATTTGCACATTAACGTAAAGTAAATTTGATTGTTCATCTTGTTTGTTTTGCACACGTTGTATTAGAGCCAAGCCTGGATATTATTTTGTTTTGCAATTTGTTTAACATTTTTTCAAAGTAAAGTATTTGTAAATGTTTTTCCCTCTGTCTTATCCTACAGTTCCCTCACCGTGAAGACAACTTGCAGTCTAACTTGTTTCTTTTTTTTTTTGTTTTTGTTTTGTGACTGGCATTCCATCTGCCTAGAGAGACTGCACTAACATCTCTTTCTCGCCATAGTCTGCACTACTGATCTCCCAGGAAGGACGGAAATAAATAATTATGAGCTTGAAGTGCGTAGGAATCTTGGCAATAATGCTTGGGAATTATTTATAGAAATCTTTACTTTACTAATTGAGGATTCAAGGGCAACTTTAATATTCATTAAATGGAGAACACGGTGATTTCCAGTACAGCACATAAAACGTAACATATAATGACTCAGAATTAATGACAAGGGAAATTAACTAAACCAAATAAATAAATATTCACTTTATTTAAAAAGACACGTGTATTTGACCAGATCACACACTAGAAGGTGAAGGGACGACGACGTTTCGGTTCGTCCTGAACCTTTTCGGTCCGTCCTGAATCGACTTGAGTATGGTCCAGGACGGACCGAAACGTCGTCGTCCCTTCACCTTCTGGTGTGTGGTCTGGTCAACATACTTCAGTCACGTTATTGTGACTCATCGTCTGCACACGTGTATTTATATCAAATTGAAAAAAGTATCCTACTCTAGTAAAATATCCCTAAGAGGCAAATGGTTATCCACTGATTGAACATGAGTTACTCAAGAGTACATTACCTCCCCCTGCAAGAACCGGCCACAGATGTTGAATGGCTACTCCCAGGTCATTGGACCTGTACCCAAGTCCCACACCAGACACACTAGAATTTCCTTTGACTACCCCAGGGAGGCCTATGGTTCTTCCCCCGAGCTTGGCTCCGGGCTAGGAGCGCCAATCAATTCAAACCAAAGCTGGATGTCCTGGTCCTTTGGCCAATGGGTGTCCGGTACTACCCTGGGGGACTCCGCCTCTTGAGACTTTCGTCCAATCACTTGAGCCCCCGGGCCTAGTACCCTGGCACCACTAACCAATGAAACAAAATCGCCTGGTCTTGGCCACTGAAAAGTCTGACATGTGCCCGGGGGGAGGTGGTCCTCTCATAGAATCTGGAAACAAGCAGTACATCCAGATCGTGTGAACCAAACCTCCTCTGACCAGCCACCCCTGAGAAATTTAAGAACTACGGTTTTATGGCACTGAGTTTTTTTTAATGGCCCTCAATTTGTCTATGGCTATAGACGGACAGAGAGATAGAGGGGGGGGGAATGGTTGGGGCAAGAGGATTGGGGTAGGATTGGGGTTAGAGGGAACAAGTGGCCTGCGACGGTCTCGCTTGCCTAAGGGAGCTTGACTCAATGACTTACTTTCCTGGCCCTTTCCTGACTTGTGGCAGGAAAGGGCCATCGGGGGTGGGGAAGAATAAACAAGGGGGAGGAGAAGGTGAGAAGGAGAAGGGGAGAAGCTTGGTCTGTGCACAGACCAAGAACTACCACCTTGCCGGAAAGTCTATCTCTTACCTCCGTGTTGAGTGCTCTAAGGCCCTTACCCTCCTTCGGGTCTTGTCCCATACTTCTTGGGGGGCAGATAGGCGCACTCTCCTTGCTTTACATTCTTCTCTCGTCCTGTCTAAGCTCGATTATGGTTGCCCTGCTTACTCGTCTGCTTCTCCTTCTACTCTTCGCCGTCTTGATGCTTTGCGCCATACTGGGTTGCGCCTCAGTTCTGGTGCCTTTCGTTCGACTCCCGTCCTTAGCTTGTATGTTGACACTGGCTTCCTGTCTCTCCAGGACCGCCGTGATCGCTACTGTCTTCGCTATCTTGCGCGGTCCTTGCAACATCCTTCCTCTCGCCTCTGTCGTGCTTTAACTTTTACCCCTCCTGCGGTTCCTGTTCCTCTTCACCACCTCCCTCTTTCTGTCCGGTTATCTCGCCTACAGGATTCTCTTTCCGTTCGTATTTCTGATGTTTCTCCTCGTGTTGTTCCTTCTTTGCCCCCGTGGAGGGTCCCTCTTCCGCGGTTTTGTACATCCTTGACTCGTATCACTAAAGCTTTTACCCCTCCTACAGTTCTAAAACGCCTTTTCCTCGAGCACTTTTCTTCTCACTCCCGCTCCGTTTCTGTCTTCACCGATGGGTCTAAGTCAGCGGACGGTGTTGGCTACTTTGTTGTTTTTCCTGATCGCACTTATATGTGTCGCTTGCCTCCGGAGACTAGCATCTTTACAGCGGAACTTTATGCTATTCTCTATGCTCTTCGTCTCCTACTTTCTCGTTGTCAATCTTCCTTTGTAGTTGTTGTTGACTCTCGTAGTGCCCTCATGGCTCTCGGGTCCTTTACTCCAGTTCATCCAGTGGTTGTCGAGATCCAGCATTGGCTGTTTCTCGTTCATAGTAAATTTAAGTCGGTTGAGTTTTGTTGGGTTCCCAGCCATATTGGTGTGTCTTTAAATGAGCGTGCGGATGCTGCCGCCAAGGAAGCTGTCCGCTCTTGTCCCATCTCTCGTAAGGGCATTCCGTATTCCGACTTTTACCCGGTTATCCATTCCTCAGTCCTTACCCGTTGGCAGGCTTCTTGGTTGTCTGTTACTGGTAACAAGCTACGTACTCTTAAATGTTGCGTTTCCTCGTGGCAGTCCTCCTTCCACCGTAACCGGCGGTGGGAAACAGCTCTGGCGAGGTTGCGTATTGGCCATACTCGCTTAACCCATGGTCACTTGATGGAGCGCCGCCCTGCTCCTTATTGTCCTAGTTGCATTGTCCCTCTTACGGTCGTGCATGTCCTTCTTGAATGTCCTGACTTCCAGGACGAGCGTATGTCTTGCTTTCCGACCGCCCCTCGCGGTCACCTGTCCCTCGATAGAATTCTTGGTGACTCGGATACTTTTGATATCGTTCGCCTTATGCGTTTTTGTTCTCGTATTGGCATCCTTGGTGATATTTAGCGCCCTCTGATTATTTTGCGTATTTGATGGTGCTACATAGCCTTCCCGGTTTGGTGCCTTCTTTTGATAATTACTTACTTACTTACTTGCCGGAAAGTCGTTAATCTTGACCGAGACGACGCCTATAGTCACAATGCCTGTGACACGCTCACCACCTCCAAATTCCCTCAGCAGACGACGGTTTTCCCCACCTTGTTTGAGATCAACTATTCCCCACCAACCAGGGGACGACAGCTTCGTCCCCTCACTCCGTGGTCTGTATCACGACCCCTCCCTAAGCAGGAGACGACAGCTCCTCCCTCGGATTGTGCCCCGACTCCTTTCCCACCAGGAGGACAGAATCTGTCTTCTACCACGTGCTCTGTCTTGCCTTCTGCCACGCCCTCCAATGCCATCCTCTCCCCTTTAGCAAATCCAATGTGTCCACTATTCCCTGTGGTTCAAGTTGTCTCGCTGATATCCTAATACTGGCTAGGCTTCCTTGGTAGCTAGTTTTACTGGTCCCTTTTTTTCCCCATAATTCTTTTCAGCCCAAACACTTCTCTTCGTTTGTATGCATCGATTTCCTTAAAGTGTATCTTTCTCGGTTTTACGATCCCGTTCTTTGTAATTCGTGGGTATGAGCAGGTGGAGCTGCATGGTTCACTCACAATGTTTGTCAATACCACTCGCCCGACACCCTCAGTCTGGCTCCTCTTTTTTGTTTTTTATACAAGAGTTGTTACATTCTTGTACTTGTGCTTGTTAGATTTCGCTTTGTCTATAGACTCACGCAATAGGCAAAAATAACTGGATTTTAGGCCATGGTTTACTTAAATGCATCTGGACAGCTGATGTGTCAATAATATTTTATGAATATTGATTCAGTTGCATGCTGAGCTGTGCGAGATGAGTATTTTTAGCTAGCTAGCTCTTGACACACTATGTAACTCTTCATCTATTCTAGTGTAGCTCCAGAAATCAGGATGTACCTATGTTAAAAAAAAAAATTTGAACGAGCGCAACATCTGAAACTAGAACCATGTGGTTTGGTTTATTCCAAAACGCCTTAGCTTAGCTGTGTGTGGAAGCACTTGTAACGGCCGTCTAGATTTGTTTAAGTTGAATAACTCTGAAACCCAATCAATTGTACAGTAACAAACCACAGCTGAGACAATGGTGTCAACTATTACTGCTACTGTAACTGGGTGGTATGTCTTGAGCATGAATATATTGTAAATCACCAAATCCGGCAAATTCGGATTAGCTGTGCAACCTGGTTGCTAAACACACAAGACATGTTTGTACTTACCAAGCACAGTCACAAGGAGGGAGGGAATTTGCCACCGTCCGAACCCCAGAGCTGACAGTACATCATCAAAGTTGTCGTCTCCAGACATCGTCACCTGCTGACCGAGAAGGTTGTTGTGATACGCAGCCTTGAGGACGTGGCAAGCAAGCAGCTGTTAACGCTGTTTGAGGCGGAGCAAAGATCCTCAACATTTACATAGCACCACAGATGCCACACTGCTCAAGGATAACACAACTCAACAGTGTTGGACGTGATGTTAAAACACAGATAACACTGATTTCATTTCACCTTTCGTTACGACAATTGAGTGTAGACACCTATGTATACCGTTATAGAAATGATATACCGGTTGATGGAAACAATATCACATTGATGCTTGTCGAGTTAAGGCCGATAAGAGTGGTACCACACTGTTAAGGAGAAATATATATATACCCCTTTGCATGCTACTTCGCATGTAGGAAGGTGATCATCAGGAGATACTCCTTCACTGTATCACGATAAGGTAAACAAGGGGAGACAGCTAGTGTCCCCTCGAGGTGAGCGAAGCAGTGTTGGAGAGTATGTGGACTGCCTCAGAGTGAGCGAGGCAGCGTGTGAGAATGCGTGACTGCCTCTGAATGAGCGTGGCAGCGTATAAAGTGTGATCCATACTTGGGCGTGGGGCGCCCCGCACTGCGGCACACAGCGTGGCCCGGCCAGCGGTCGCTCCCGGCTGGTACTCAGGCACACACTGTAACTCCCTGGCACTCTCTGGCATCCTCCAGTACACTCTGGCACCCCCATCTTGTCTCTTTTTTAACTAGAATAGGTATCTGGGAGTTAGTCGCCTGTTGTGGGTTGCATCATTCGGGAGATGGGAGGCGGAGTCAATGGCTGAAAGAACCTTGACTAGCCTAATAGGCTTCCAGAAATATAAATTTATATACATTATATAAAATTAATATATTAGATGCACAGGCACGAATCAATACAAACAAGAATAAGGTCACAAGATGCAAAGGTGAATGACACGCAAGGGGCACCCCCCCCCTCCACACACACACAGAGGAAGGCAGACTGAGAACGACCGTCTAGACTTGCTCCTACGCCCTCTGACACAAGCTCATAGCTGCAGTTTAGTCACTTTCCCAAGCCTGCACCTGGCCCTGAGTGTCACCGAGTGGCACAGTGAGTAACCTGTCGGGCACTTCAGCGTGTGGGGTTTGTGCCTGGCTAAGTGGTTTAAACACAGTAGGTTTTGGTGCTTATATATCAGTATCTGCACAGAGTAAAGGGTTTCGAATCTCCTTTGTATGGATACCATCATATAAATATAACCTATCATAATGAGACAGACATTGCAGCCAAATTAGCGTGTAACAAATATGAATTTTGATTAGACCTAGGTATCCCTATCTCTGCTGTCAAAGCTATATTGTTCCAAACACTCAGGTCTGATAGGAGAGAAATTACAGACTCCCAACGACCTGAAACCACCAGTATAACAGGCTATGATTTGTTCAGATCTGAAACTTATATTTATAGGCAGCACAAAACGTCCACCAGACTGTGCGAAACAGTGGTTGCCAGGATCAGGTTGGGTTACCGTTACCTGTGGCAGGTGGCTACAATTGACGGACCTCCCAATCCTTGAGCAGCACAAACTCTGTGAGTAGGAACTGCGGTATGATCTCCCACACTACATCATCGAATGCCCAGTTATTAGACCTTTCAGACCAGTTGGCATGAGGTACCTGGAGCTTTACAATTACTGTATGCACTCTCGTGTTCTTGAGAATATCCTCATATTGCACCCAAAATTTGCCAGTGTAGGCACTGAACATATGGCTCTGTATGACTAACCATCCTGCGAGACGGGAACTTTTAGTATCCCTGCTACCTTATTCCCTCTTGTGTTGATGATGATATCCTCATAATGCACCCAGAGTCTGCCAGTGCAGACTACTTATCACATGCCTCTGAATGAATAACCATCCTGTGTGATGGGGATTTTTAGCATCGTATAGCTAGTTTTTTGACACTGTACTCCCCTGCATATAGTCTAGGGTACTTGCACAAATGCAGCCAACACACAACCTGACTAGCACACTACACCTAAATGTGTTAATAAAAAAAATGGTTTCAGAGTGTTACAGTGTGTGGGATAGTGAGTGAAACAATCCTATACTTAGCAGTCCCCGTGGTGTAGTGGTAAGACACTCGCCTGGCCTTTCGCGAGCGCTTTGGCCTGGGTTCGTATCCTGGCCGGGGAGGATTTACTGGACGCCAATCCTTAACTGTAGCCTCTGTTTACCCAACAGTAAATAGTTGAATACCCGGTTGCTAAACGATTTGGCGGGTCGTATTCTGGGTCCTATTAGGATTAAGGACCTGCTCGAAATGCTGTGTGCTAGTGGTTGTACAATAATGTAAGAACTCTCGCATATATATATATATATATATATATATATATATATATATATATATATATATATATATATATATATATATATATATATATATATAAATAAAATAAAAGAATATGGAATGGTGAATGACTTCTCATTTTGTTGTGTTCAGTGAATCGGTGAATTGAATTCACTGTTGAATTCAGTGAATTGAGCTTCGGCTCTTTAGTTGCGCCTCTCAGACTCTATCATATATATACATCTGAAGCTGTATATGTTTCCTACATCCATCACTTCACGTTTTAGTACATTCCATTTGCCCGCTACTCTGACACTTGACAGAATGTGTTTTAATTACTCCCACTCAGCATTCCCTTGTCTACAAGGTCAATTCCCGTGAGTATGTTTAGTGTGGTAATCATGCCTCTCCTGACTTCGAAAACGCGAGATTCAATTTCTTTAGTGTTTCCCCATAACTCATATTTCTTATCTCTGGCAATTAACTGCTTAATGGCATGTTTCCAAATCTTTGTCCAGCTTCGTTTTGTGTTTAAAGTGATACTGACTCTATGCTGGAGCTGCATATGTCAATATTGGTCTGACATGTATGGTATAAATGTTCTAAATGACTATGTATTCAGGGTTATAAGTGTGTTATACAAAGCTGTAAAGTGTGTGGGAGAGTAAAGTGTTATATTGATCGGCACAGCGTGTGGAATAGATCAAGTATTTTACCAAGAGGTGAGTAATATAGTTAATGTCAGTGTGTTGATTGTGGATACTGTACCATATTTGTTTATATTCCTGCTATGCTGAGCGATGATTGTTTATAAGCTTGTGGTGCCCGAATTACGATTCTTGGTTTACTTGCAATGCTGACCGAACGCAACACAAAGTGATGACGAAGATTTCGAGAAACATCGTGCTGACTTTAGTGAAGGTGATCATTCACCTGTGCTAGCTTAATTATAACATTAAAACACAAAGCTGGCTGTTGTAAAGATAAACACAGTGAGGTGAAAGTGGGTCTCATGGTCAAAAGAATTGCAACCTGGAGTACTACTGCACCCACAAGGATCCCGAGGCTTACACTGAAGTCTAACCGGGGTTTCACACAATTCCCCCATGCACTCGGGCTCTGTCAACCAGTAGCTCTACCTCAGAAGTAGTTCTCCATGTATTGAAGGAGGGGTGGCAAATGTTGAACTACTGGTTGATAGAGTCTGAGTACATGGGGAAATTGTGTCAAATCAAAGTTAGGGTTCAGTGAAAGCCTAGGAATCCTTGTGGGTGCAGTAGTATCCCAGGTTGCAATTCTTTTGACCATATCGTGGTGCAGTTGACTAGAGCACACCTGGGAACACCCAGCACATAGGTTCGAACCCTCATCAAGGTTCTTGTGGATTTGGTAATATGGCTTATGCCCTTACCATGTAATTATATACTTATGTTGTGCCTCAGTACCATATTATGACATTTTATACAAAGTTTAACAAAATACACCACTTACAAGCGATTGATTTGTTATATTTTATCAATATGAAAAAGACGAAGTAGAAGAATTAAAGCCAAGTGATTTAATAACCTGTCTACATCTATTAGGTTGAATTAAAATGACACTGAATTCAGTCCGACTCCAAAGTCTTTTTCTTCATCAATATGCTTCAAGGTAATTTTGTCGATTTATTAGTGACGTGCATTGTTAAGTCCCCACAAGGTTTTGCATTTTTTCTACATTAAAAGGCTCCAATTGCAATAAGCAGTGACGAACAGGGGATGGAGGGAGGACATGAGGGAGTGATAGAGAATGAAAAGGAGAGAATAAGGAGAGAATAGAGAAGGAAGAAATACAGAACAGGAAGAATGAAGAGGGAACGGGAGGGAGAATGGGAATGAGGGGAGGGAGTCAGTGATGCCAAAACTACACATCGGAAGATGAAGAAACAACGATGTTTTGGTCCGTCCTAGACTATTATCAAGTCGTGTGTCCTCACACAATGGTCCAGGACGGACTGAAATGTCGTCGCTGCTTCATCTTCTGACGAGTGGTTTGGTCATTACAGTATATCTTCAGCCACGTTATTGTGACTCATCGTTTGCACGAGGGAGATAAGAAACCTAGGCACTACTGGGTACCCCACCTAGTGGGATATAAAAGTATCTAATAACTGAGTTTTCACATATTCTATATCTATGACATACTGCATATCTAGAAGACTTGCACAACAGTACAACTGAGCAATCATACCAAGGAGGAACAGTCAAAAATCAAGACAATCTTTGTGATTAAAGGACAGAATTTATTGGTCACATAATTAAAGACAACATGACAAGTCTCCACCAACTGATCAGTGGACAGTGCACATATATTTATTCTACAATGGACATCCATCACCTTGGTCCCAAGCTGATCCAAGTTCAGGTTTTTGTAATAGACCATCTATGTTAAGAAAGCCAATAAACTGTCCAATTAAGGGTATATCCTGTTAATATACTAATGTTTATAATAAATAATTGCAAACTCACCACTGATAAATAAAGTTAATACATGTCATTACAGAACATATGACTGATTTTTCCAAGTCTTTGGTATTATTTGGTTGCACACTGAAAAGTACTACACAATACTACATTAAATACTTGTTACATAAAACATATAGTATCTCGGTATACATTAAGTCTTATCTGTTCCCAGTAGAAGTACAGGTTAGCTTCATTATAAATATCTATTAGCACTATCACTCAGGAATATTTTGATAGCAAAATAATCTCTCTGAATTATCAGATGATCTTTTCTTAATGAACATGGGGTTAAAAAAAAAAAAGTCTTACAATATAAAAAAAATTCTTCTGGCCATTCTCCAATTTGTGTAGTCCTTCTTTCACTAAGGGATACTGAAATGTTATTTCACCTAAGTTTTTCCATTTATTATATTTCAACGTTTCGCCGTCAGAGAGGCCTCCTTAGGAAATACAGGTTTCGGGACAAGTGGCCTTTCTTACAACTCACCCATTCCAGTTAGCAACACGTTTCTAGACTTTCTGGTCATGTTAAGCTAGTCTATTCTATGTTTAGTTATTTAAAGTTAAGATATAAGGTACAAGTAAAATGGAAACAAAAAATTGACCTGAAGCTATAATACTGTACATATTTAATAAATATAATTAAAGGACTTGACGAATGAATGGATTCTGAATATGGCCACTTATTGGAAATCAACCAATATGGGAAAGTGCATGAAAATAATAGATGAAGGTTTGGGTAGTTAGATGATGGGCATTTTTGTTTTGTTTTGCAGGGATATTCCTGTGCGGGCCCTAAGCCTCTGGCTGGCTCACTAAATGTTGCTTGTTTCTGTTTTACTTGAGGCGGAGTACGAGTATTTATGACTCATATGGTCGCTTCATTAAGATTTTGTCCCCATGTGTTTAACAATACCTTCTGCTCTGTTGAATCTGAGTTGAAATCATAATGGGTTTGTAACCCTGCACTGTGTTAGATAATGTTCCAGTGGTCTGTCCGGCATTTCTCCACAGTGCTGACATGATGGCCATTACCATTGGTTTGTGCTCCACATAGCATTTCTTACACCAGAAGCTTGAATGCATTCACCAAATGCATTCAAGCTCATGGATAATGGATATTCTAACACCATTTTTGTCTAAGGTACAGTACATAAAAAATGCTTAGGTTTCTCTCCTTATCAAACAAAACCCTCTCGTTGAAGACATTATTCTGTACTACTATATATGAATGTGTTCACATCAACATAAAATAATTCATATCGAGGAATTATAAATTTCAGGATTCATATAAAGCAAAACCACCTCTTTGATTAGACTTATCATCTACTAAGACAACCCTCCCATTGCTTCCCTTTTTATGAAGAATAAAATGGCAGCACGTTTAGAAAAGCTGCAGATTACTGAAGTAGTTTAGTAAAGTATGTGAATACAAGTGAAGTAGTGCAGACTGTGCACTTTATTGCATAAGCTACAAGAGATATACTAAAGCACCCTCGGTAAGCATCTTACAGAGCAATTACAAAGAGGTAGTTTCAACACCACCACCTACTGAATATAAACAAAATAAATTGCTATATCATGAGATATGCAAACTATTGCACATAGCAAAACAAAAATGTAAACAAAAATGACTTCTGCAACCCTACAGCAACCATGCCTGGTTGCAATTGTGTTAATATCAGTATGATGATCTGAGAGAATTGTGGATTACTTGGCAAGTACCCGATGCTTGCATATACCTTATGTAACCCTTGTTTTGTGTATTAATTTAACCTCTAACTATACATGCTGTGTATTACTTCCTGTAAAAGCTTTTCTGAAGGCAGAACACTAATATTTCAGTATCCCTTTAGTGGTAGAAGGATGATTGTACATGTATGCCTATCCTGTGTGCATGTGTAATTACCTTAGTTACAGGACGAGAGCTATGCTCGTAGTGTTCCATCCTCTCAGTAATCTTTGCCATGTAATGCTTTGAAACTACTGATGGTTTCGGTGTCCACCGCCTCCTTACTTAACTTGCTCCAACCATCTACAAGTCTATTTGCAAAACAAAGTTTCTAATATTTTTTTGGGCATCTCTGCATCCTGTTTGAAATTATGACCTCTTGTTCTTGAGTTTGTAATTTTCAAGAATTCCTCTGTCACTTTTGTTGATTCTTTTTACTATTTTGTATGTCGTGATCATATCTCCTCTTTCTTTTATCTTCTAGCCTTGGCATATTTTACACTTCTAGCCTCCTCCTCGTAGCTCTTATTTTTCAGTTATGTAAGCCATTTAGCAGTATGCCTTTGCACTTTTTCAGGTTTGTTGCTGTGCTTCTTGAGATATGGGCACCATATAACTGCTGCACATTCCAATTTTGGTGTCATAAATCATTTAGTTTCTCTGGTATTTCAACAGCAATGTACTTAAAACGAGATTCTCAAGTTGGAAAGTGCAACATAGACTTCTTACACAATGTCCTTCATGTGGTCCTTGTGTAATAGTTTACTATCCAGAACCACTCCTAGTTCTCTATAAGATCTTCAAAGCCTTTTCACATAATTTGTAGGTTGTGAGTGATCTATTTTCTCCTATTCCACATTCCATAATGTGGAATTTATTCACATTGAATTCCATCTGCCACGCCTCTATACATTTACTGTATTTTATGCATGTCATCTTGAAGAGCATTCCAATTGTCTAAGTCTCTTATCTTCCCTATATAGCTTATCATCATCTGCAAACATGTTCATACAATTCTGTATTCCCTCTGGTAGATCAGTTACATAGAAAATTAATATTACTGGAGTTAGAAGTGAAGCCTGTGGGACTCCACTCTTAGCATTTCTTCAGTCTGATACAGTGCCTCTGACTACTGCCCACAGTTTCCCTGTCCGTCAGAAAAGTTTTCATCCATGTCGGAAGTCTTCCTACTCTTACTGATCTCAATATATTTATAGTATCTGGGACACCACTTGCATGCCTCTATCCTACACTACAACCTAGAAAATGGTGGGATAATCCTGTGTGTGTGTGCGTGTGTGTGTGTGTGTGTGTGTGTAATTACCTAAGTGTAGTTACAGGATGAGAGCTACGCTCGTGGTGTCCCGTCTTCCCAGCACTCTTTGTCATATAACGCTTTGAAACTACTGACGGTCTTGGCCTCCACCACCTTCTCCCCTAACTTGTTCCAACCGTCTACCACTCTGTTTGCAAAAGTGAATTTTCTTATATTTCTTCGGCATCTGTGTTTAGCTAGTTTATATCTATGACCTCTTGTTCTTAACGTTCCAGGTCTCGAGAAATCTTCCCTGTCAATTTTATCATTTCCTGTTACTATTTTGTATGTAGTGATCATATCACCTCTTTTTCTTCTGTCTTCTAGTTTTGGCATGTTTAATGCTTCTAACCTCTCCTCGTAGCTCTTGTGTGTGTGTGTGTGTGTGTGTGTGTGTGTGTGTGTGTGTGTGTGTGTGTGTGTGTGTTAATTTTGTGTGAGTGCACTTGTGTATTTTGTGCATATACACTAAAATATTTACCTGAATTTACCTGACAGCCACTACCTATCCAGTGGCCTCAATGGGGTCAGGAAGCTGGCGGCTTGTCAAAGGCCCCCTCATTTTTCACTGTGAATTACAGTATGTGACAAAACACTTATGTAGACTGTTTTCTTGTGTCAGTCTTCACAAGGATGGATAACAATCTTCAATACAATCTCTATATGTACTGTATGTATGTTTATGTAAATCACCAGAATAAAACTTATCAAATAGAGCAGTTTGATTAATGTGATTAATTGTCACACTTTATCCACATATTAACTGTCTGTGGACACTTAACAGGCAGTTAAATTAACACACAAAAGTCCCCAAAATTTTTATTATATATATATATATATATATATATATATATATATATATATATATATATATATATATATATATATATGTATGTATGTATGTATGTATGTCGTACCTAGTAGCCAGAACACACTTCTTGGCCTACTATGCAAGGCCCGATTTGCCTAATAAGCCGAGTGATTTTCTTTATTTTCAATAAATTATTTCCAATTAGTTTATTTGAATTATTATTATTATATTATATTAAGAACATAAATTATTGAATTAGTTGTGTTAGTTTAGGTTAGGTTTAGATAGGTTAGGTTCGGCCGAGAGGACAGCATGCTGGACTTGTGATCCTGTGGTCCTGGGTTCGATCCCAGGCGCCGGAGAGAAACACTGGGCAGAGTTTCTTTCATCCTATGCCCCTGTTACCTAGCAGTAAAATAGGTACCTGGGTGTTAGTCGGCTGTCACAGGCTGCTTCCTGGGGGTGGAGGCCTGGTCGAGGACCGGGCCGCGGGGACACTAAAAAGCCCCGAAATCATCTCAAGATAACCTCAAGATAAGGTTGGTTAGGTTCGGTCATATATTTACATTAGTTTTAACTCAAATTTAAACAAATTAACTTATACATAATGAAATGGACAGATTTATCATTTCATAAGATAAAAATGAGAAAAATATATAAATTCAGGAAAACTTGGCTTATTAGGCAAATCGGGCCTTGCATAGTAGGCCGAGTACGACGTTCTGGCTACTAGGTACAACATATTATATATATATATATATATATATATATATATATATATATATATATATATATATATATATATATATATATATATATAGATATCTATAGATATATAAATATGTATATAAATAATATTGCTTAAAGACATAGTTAAACAGGTCTTTTATGAAAATCTATTATACTGTTAGCTAAATGACTAGAGGAGTTGTGCATGAATGTGGATGGAATGTTCATTGAAAACCTTTAAGGCCAAATATGGACAATGAAAATGTGTGATTTAATTATCTGGTTGGGTCTTTAGCCTTTTCAAAATAGTGCATATATCCAGCAAATGTATTGATACAGTACTGTATTCATTCAAGCAACAGGCTAATACTGTTTCAGACTTACTTAGATACAAACAAATTTGAACCACAAATTTTAATGTTGTAATGGTTCCCTGAGTTCTGGTGAATTTATTATGACATTCTTTGTGGCTAAAAGCAGATGATCACATCACACATCCCACTGTATCAGCTCTCTCTCTCCTCTGATTCTTACTTGAATTTTGTTATAAAAATGCATCAGAGATCAGGAAGGCAAGAATATGGTGATCCATGTCTGCAACCTACACAGTTGGCATTAACCCATTTTGCTGCAATATCATATTTTGCAGCCAAAACAAATTAATTTAGAATTTTCTATTACGTAAATCTAACAGGGGAAAACACCTGTTCTTTCCAGCTGTCAAAAAATACGAATGTAATCTATATTACTGTACAGTATTAACATTATATAATACAAGCTCTGGTCTCTCCGATAATATTACTAAGTATGTAATGAGAACTACTGTATTGTTTTTTCTTAAATTAAGTGAAAACCATTTTCTTTTAATATCTTTAAAATACCCAAGAAATACTGATGTTTAACTACACTGTTGACAAAATTATTCACTTTGACTGCTAAGAATTTGTGATCATAATTTATAAGTGACACAAGAACACAAAGTAAAATCCAACAATGCAAAGTCAGCCTTGCATTGAAAATATAATCCTGATTTAGTGCACTAGATCAACAATAAACAAGCCCACCTTAGAGAAGGGGTGACGGGGATCATTATATGCATGTTGGAGGGAATTATGCCATATAAGTATAATTTGGAGTCTTTAAGGTTTAAGAGTACAGCTTGTGGTTAGTTCTAGGATTAGTTTGGCTAGGTTAGGATCAGGAGAAATGTTATGACAATTTTTTGGGTACTAGAATGCTTTAAATATCAGTGGTTAATCAGGTGGCTAAAGGTCTGAATTATTGTCAAAATAATGGGGGGGGGGAGCAAGCTGTTAGTGCGGATGAAGGAAAGTAGTGATGTCTGTCAATCAGGGTGAGGAGTACATCTGAAGATTAGGAAGAGGAACATGCTCAGGAGATGACCTGAAGGCCACCAGGTCAGGCTGGGAAGATGGATGGGTCTCTGAGAAGAATCCTGTAATTTTTGAGAAAATTGGTCAGGTAAGGAAGTATAATACACAGTAACCAAAGCCACTATAGTGAAGGCTTACTATTTTGGGTGGAAAGGTTAATGTAAAAATTAGTTGGAAGCCAAATTTTTGAACCGAGAGAGAAGATATACTTTCATGCTCGTTAATGCTAACAAATATGCACGTTGGTCATAGAGTTAAAAATACAACAAATACTTTGATTCAGATATCAGCTAGGCAGTAATATAAGCTTAACAGGAAGTGACAACTTTATACGATGATCTGGGTGGGAGACATAATGAAGATAATTACATTGGGTTCAAAATTGTGAGTATATGTTTTTTGTAAAGCAAATGAGATAGTGATTAAGACCTAACAAAAGAAGCAAAACAATACTGCACAATGATTGTGTGTATGACAGAGCACCCCATAGGCTTATGATATGCAGCTTATATCTGAAAATAATGAACCTTTACAGTAAGCAAGCACTTTAAACTGGGATTTTTTTTTTTAATGATGCATTACCCATTAGTTATACCTAGGGCGGAATTAGTTTTCAAAAATGTTGCATGCAATTTAAATTAGATAAAACTTTAGTCTCAATTTGTTCAAAATTATGCAATTTTAAAAACAATTAATATAGTTTAAATTCACCACTATGGACTCGAATTATAATTTAAAACACCCTTATCCATGGAAGACAGAAGAAAATGTATATATGCTGGTTAGCATTGTATAAATGCTAAAATAAACAGAAAAAACTTCTGAAAATACATGTCAGCAGGTACCTAGTTGTATTAAAATCTAGCGACGAATGTAATGAAACACTTTTTTTTTGGTAGGCCCTAAGTAGCTCCCCAATGCTAGAGCCTGGTACCAGCCAAGCTTTGGTAGTCACAGCAGGCTCTCGTGAGTCACATACACCTACCACAGACTAGGACCCTAGTCTGCCCCTCCTCCCAACAAGGAGGCTACAAGGAGCAGAGAATCAGAAATCACCCCTATCTGACAGGACAAAAACCCACCAGAAAGATTCAGTGCTACAAAACAAGCAATTGTAACCTTGGTTCTAACAATGTACACACTTTGTTAACATGGCTGAATCATTGCTATTATACTCACTTCCCCCAGACAGCCACCCCAGCAACCTTGGGTTCCAGGCAGCCACCCCAGCAACCTGGGGTTCCAGGCAGCCACCCCAGCAACCTGGGGTTCCAGGCAGCCACCCCAGCAACCTTGGATTCCAGGCAGCCACCCCAGCAACCTTGGGTTCCAGGCAGCCACCCCAGCAACCTGGGGGTCCAGGCAGCCACCCCAGCAACCTGGGGTTCCAGGCAGCCACCCCAGCAACCTGGGGGTCCAGGCAGCCACCCCAGCAACCTGGGGGTCCAGGCAGCCACCCCAGCAACCTGGGGGTCCAGGCAGCCACCCCAGCAACCTGGGGGTCCAGGCAGCCACCCCAGCAACCTGGGGGTCCAGGCAGCCACCCCAGCAACCTGGGGGTCCAGGCAGCCACCCCAGCAACCTGGGGGTCCAGGCAGCCACCCCAGCAACCTGGGGGTCCAGGCAGTCAGCCAGCACAGTTATGGGCAGCCAAAAACAAAACAAAATAAAACTCCTCAGGAAGGGACAGGAAAAGGGTGGGTAACGAGGAGTCGCTGAAGACTCATCAGAAAGCGGCACTTCATTACATATAAATGGCGAATTTTTGGGAGGGTACCCTCAGCAGTGCCAAGATGCTCTGTCACAAGTCTCTCAATATGAGGCCACTGAAAACCAAAAACGAAAGGAAACCAAGATGGCCACAACATTGTTTAGAGAAATTGTGGAGATTGTGAAAAAAGAATAAGCCACAGTGGCCCCTACAGTGGTTGGTGATAACCCCCCCCCCCCAATCAGATCAAAGACAGCAACACTGGGGTAAAAGACAGTGCCCGAGACAGCCAAATAGAAAGAGTACCACAAAATACTAAGCTAGACAGTGCTGCAGACAGCCAGGAAAGGCAGCATCCAGAGACAGCTGAGCTTTTTTCGAGAATACTGACCTTTCCTCTCTTATTCTGGAACCTTTAAGCCTGTTTTCCATGCACATGGGTATCCAAGCCCGATGTGGATCAGTGCAATTATGTTCTTCTATCGTTCCCCTTTATTAAAATATGTGGTTTATAGTTGTTTGAATTTTTATACAAAAAAGCAGGTGCTGATATTCATGTGCATGGCAGCCTTGGACCCCTAGGTTGCCAGGGCTGCTATCCAGAGGGGAGGGTGTGGAGCTAAGAAATTGGACCCAGACAATGGGTGTGTATAGACCATAGTTTTAATCCAGAATGCAACTGCTATCTAAACAGGTGCTCGTTTTGGTGTGCTCTACCATTCTGGTTTTTGTTTTTTGCAATTGCTACTGTTGTGGTCTAATAGGCCTAGAGTCACCTGCCTCTACTGAGGGGGGGGGGGGGCAGATTTTGGTATGTAGTAGTCTTGTGACCCGATAGGTGCTTGTGATTTGGTAAGAGCCTGTTGAGGTACAGTGCTCAGGATTGGAGGTGTTCAGGTGGGTAGCTCGAGGAGATAAATAAGGCAGTCATCTCACAGAGGCATGCAAAAACAACAAATTCTTTTTATAAACAGAACTGCAGATAAATGGAATAAGTTTCAGGATAGGGTAGTGTATGCAAAATTCACTAGCAATTTTCACTTGTGTATTTATGATAAAATATAGACATATATTTTATGCCAGGCTCGGTGAGTAGAAGAACTCTCAGAACCCTCTCCAGGTATGCCCCAGGTAAAGAGCAGAAAACATGGGAAACCATCAGCACAGCTCTCTTCTGGTAACTACATATAGATAATACCACACACACACATATACAGTACAATACTGTATACCTGTAAACATATGCACTATAAATACTATACTGTATACTGTATACATACTCTACCATTAAAACTTATAATACAAAATTATTTTCTCTCTTATTTATCTAAAAATGAAGTTAAATTACTGGGAAAGAGACTGGAGGTTCTTTTGCAATCATTTACAATTCGAGCTAATGAACAGAAGAGTAGGCCTGCGTCTCAATAATGTGAAGTTGGGCGTGACAGGCCGACAATGGCTCCACTTCCTCATCGCCACCATTTCTCTCTGCAAAAATTGTACCAATGTGCATTTTTTGTATGTTAAGTGTCTATATGAATATATTTATAGTATTGCCATATGAGACTGCTGAATCGAATGATAAAATTAATTATTAAACGAAGGATCCAACCGAGCACTCTTCACATTCAACTGAAAACTACTAATCAATTATTCATTGGGGAACAACAAAAGTTGAATGGGTTGGAAGTACTACACTTCAATGGATTAACTATATTACAGAAAGGTAACTGAAGGCTTGAAGTTATTCATGTGATTCTATACAGCCCAACACACACACACACAAATAAGCATTGAATGTAATGAAATGCCTCCTTCTGGTAGGTCCTTGGAGGCTCCCTGGTGCAAACTACCTGGAGACCTCCACAAAATTCAATTCATGGCAGTCCCTTATGAGTCCTTACAATCCTACCAGGCACCAGAGGCCAAATCCTGGCCCACACTCTGAAGAGGTGTAGGGAACTTGAGGATTCTAGATCACTTGAATAAAGAAAAAGGTCACCAGAAGGGTGAGCAAAATAATACAATCAGCAAGGTAAACAAAACATGGAAAATGACACACTCACACAACCAAGTGAAGCAATTCACTCACTAATTAACCACACCTAACTACAGTACTCAGTTCCCAGCCTTGACCTGTCAGTCATTTAGCCAAGAATAAGGAAAACTGAAGCCCATGAAAAGGAGGGAGGGAGGGAGGGTGGGTCTAGGGAGCCACCAAGGACCCACGAGAAAGAGGCTTTTCATTATATTCAATGCAGGTTTTCTAGGAGAGCTCCTCTAAAAATTCCCTGGTGCTGTCACCACGGAGAATGATAAACAATGGGAACTTGCCTGGAGCTGGGAACTCGTCTGGAGCTGAGAATTGCAGACAGGAACCCCCCAAGTAGGAAGAATCAGCAACAAGTTACCCACCCCAATACCACACAAGCCCAGTGCAGATCAAGCAGATTCACTTATTAATGAGCCACTAGCAATCCATTAGACCACCAAAGCACCTAAACAAAAAACTAACGCAATATCCGAAAACAACCCGGACAGAGCCGTAAACTTATGGACATCATGGGCCCTGAGGGTAGACAGCAAGTGACTAAACTTGATGCCACTATAGAAGCCCAAAAAAGAATGGGCCCCCTGGAACAAAGGACCAAGGATACCAGTTCCACAGACAGCACATCATTAGTAATAAGGAGGTAAAAGAGGTAATGGCCAGAACTGGACACAAAAATGATGCCCCCCCTGTTGAACCAACCAATAAACAACCACCAAAGAACCCCTGCAGAAACCATTAATCCTTGCCAGAAAGGAAATCTTATTCCTTGCCAGAAAGGCAGAAGACTAAAAATGAAGACATCTAATCCAGGACAAAAAAGAATAACGATTATAAAAGTAGCAAACCTGGACTGAAGGGGTAACTGAAAACTTTTAGAGGAGAGAAGACCAAAAACCATGTCCAAAGACCAGGAGAGCACAGGACCGTGAACAAGCAGGTGGTGAAAAATGCCCAATACAATGATCAAAGCAGATTGAATGGACTGTTGACACCAAATGCTGTTGCATACAACCATGGCTCCGCCAAGCCCAAACAACATGAGGTGATTGAGAGGTTAAACTACAGAAATCAAGACAAAAATGACAAGATGACAGGCACAAACTAATGACAAGCAATGAAGAAAGAAAAAGATGGATGGAGTACTAAACCACCAATCTGCAGCTGTCCACAAGTCCCTGAGAAAACTTTGAGTCAGGAGAGCAGGTGGAGAAAAACTAAACGGGATTCAACCCAAAAAACAAAAATCAGACCACAAGGCTATGGAGACTGTAATGGGAAGAACTCACCACCCCCACCAAGCCTCGAATGTTCCCAAAATGGATTACTTCCCAGGCAGAGCCCCATGATCCATGCCAAACACTAGCAACAGAAAAGCATCTCCCTTGAGGGGAGGAAAACCATGCCTCAAAGTGAAACAGAGCAGCAGAACCTCAGAGGGAATCATCAGCTCAATTACCTCTGCAGCTGATCACAGAAGAGCCAGCCATAAAACAATGACCAAACCCCCATTCAAAGACAACAGGAAGCCGGAAAAGAATCATAACTGTCCGACCCGACACCCAAACATAAAATTCATGACTGAACTGGCTGGCATACTTAATGTAACAGAAAGATATGATGGAGTACCTCTTACAAATTTGCAAAGAAGCTACCAACAGACTTGAAAATTATGGTACTGTATTTTCATGTTTGTAATGTAATAGTGGACAGAATTGGAGGAAAAGCAGTAGCAGAAGAAATGTACAGGAAATGAGGAAATGGAAGAACAAAATAGTAAAATCAAAGATTAATGAAGGTATCTCCAGTCTCTTATGCCAGTAGTCTCTTACAATACAAAATACTGTATTTCTAAGTCATACAGTACAGTATTTAAAATTTTTGAAATACTGTATTGTATGGTACAGTATCTTTTTTTAAATCTTTAATCCACCCTCTCTCCCCTCCCTATAATGAGAACAAGTGGAATGAAAACATTGGATGTGATGAGTATGTAGGATGTAATGAGTCCATGGGGTGCAATGAACACATGAATTATAATGAATACAGAAGGGTAGATAATATACAAGATATTAAGATAAATCAAACCCTCCATTTAGCAATACCTTGGTAGCTCCCTTGCACCAGTGACCTAAATGAGTTCACAGACATTCCGCCTGCCAGATTTTAACGACTAGTTTACCCACCAAGAATACAACCCTTTCAAATAGTCTGGTCTTGCAACTGAGGAAATTAGAGAGAATCACTAATCTTTAACTTAAGCCATCACTGAGAAACTAGCCTTCAGAAACACACACACAAAATAATTGACATTAGACGTGGCCAACTCCCTCAAAGGTAAAATCGGGCACTGAATGTAGAGAAATGCCCCTTTTTCTGGTGGGGCCACTCAGGAGCATCCCATAGCTGGCTATAATACTGGGGCTGCCAAGCCCCAGTATTATAACAACTCCAGGTCTCCAACTCCAGTTATTATGAATAACTCCATGTCTATGTAATCTCGAGTCTATCAAGGGCCAGGCCCAGAATCTGGCTTGCTCTCTACAAGGTGAGGGAAGCTTGGGCAATTAAGAGTTCTACTCAAAATAAAGAACAACCCACTAGACAGATTAAGTAACACAAAATAAACTCCTACTTGAACAAAGAAATAAAACCTGCTGCAAACAAGCCAAATATTTGTTTTCATAGGTGAATAACCTTAATCTTAATGTACCCGACTGCCACCCAGTGGCAGCCCAGGCCACTCGGAATCCTGCCCAACCAACAATCTCACTCATGAGACACCAGAACTGATTCCCAAGTGCCCCACAGGAAAGAAGGGATCAGGCAGAAATGTAAACCTACCGAGGGACCCCCAGAAAAAGGCATTTCATTAAATTCAACACTTAATTTCTGGGAGGCACCCTCAGTAGCTTCTCAAGGTTTACATTCAATACAAAAGATGTAAAGGGCCCAAAAGTGGTACCTAAGTCAAACCCTGAACCTTGGGAAGATGGGAACATGCAAGAGAGCAGAATCTGGGATAGAGGAGCACCAGATGCATGTCAAATACCAAAGTTCCACATAAACAAGGCAAGGAAACACAACATCTAATAAGAAGTGAGATGCCAACATCTTGTTTTATCTAAAAAGCCGTTATTATTAGCCATTAACATTTAAAAAAAATCAAAGCAGCAAACTTAGGCACATCAGGAGAGAGAGAGAGAATAGACAGCTAGGTGGCTGGACTAGACCACCTTTGAAACATGAGACACTGAATAGACACGGTTTCAACGCAAACAAGAGTAGCGTGCAAATAATGCCCCATAGCAGCCACAGAACAAATAGTGTGGTGCACTCCCAGCCAGAAAAACTAGGTGTCAGAAATTAATGGGCTCCTTCAGGAAAGAAGAGATTTCCTTCATAGCCAAAAACAGCAGAAAACATTGACTGTTGAGAAAATTACCATGTCCAAAAAGAACAAAACCAAGCCTCTGGTAAAGAGCGTAATATTATTTTATTGTAAATAATAATAATACAATAACCTTTAATAGCTATTTCTTGAGCTAGCTTCACTAACTCAGGTGATTCCTTAATTAACACTTTTTTAATCTACATGAACTGGATGGGACACGAGCTGTGCACAGAACAAATATTTAATTCCTGGCACAAAGCTCCTGTTATTCACAAACATAGAAGGAAATGAATGGACTGATCATGCACAGAAGAAAAGTTTGGTTACTGGTTAGTGAAAATGCAGACTTACTCAACTGCCTTGCAATACACACACAAAAAAATTAATGAATGAAGCATAAACCCATTGCACAAGGAAAAAAATGTCTAAGGTTAATACAAACCATTTAACTGAGAGTAATGATAAAATATGAGAGAGATGGGCTGAAGGTTATTACTGTGTAGTCAGAACTGTCATTGTGGTGGCAATTCAACCTGTCCTCCTATAAAGAACGTCGCTTTTCGCTCATAAGCATTACATAAGGTCAAAAATTGTTGTTCTAGAAAATGGAAGCTGCTCGCAAAAGTGATGTACTGTTCCGTTCTCCATTTTGGGTCCTCTGGTAAGTTAAGAGAGGACACTTTAAACAGAACAGTTTCTTGATGTTGGGAACCTTAGGTGGTTTCCTAAGGTTTCTGGGCAGTCAATACTTCCTTATCAGTAACTACAGCTCTTTATGCCCTGTCTTTCATATCTGGTGTACTAATTACATCTCTCAACATTTTAGTTCTTGACATTTATTCTGAAAGTTGTGGATGGTAGTAGTGTCAATAATTACCTCTTCAATGCATTACACTTGCCAACAACCCATAAAAGGTACAATAATTTCCCTTAATGTCTACAATTCAAATCTATATCTAGTTTTTATCAATGTCGCCCTTGACCTATATCCTTTCAATTTAAATAGGCTGACCTTGTTCATGTTGTCTGTTCGTCTCATTATCTTGTACATCATGATCATATTCCTTGTGTCTTCTCTCCTCAATGCTGCATACTTTAATAATGGTGTCACATTGCTAGTGTATATGGACTTAAAGCTTTCTTCTTTAGATTTTTAAATGCTGTTTTATGTACATCATCATCTTACATACCGTTTACATTACCCTGTTTCAATTAGCTTTTGGTGCAAGTGTTGGGGGTTATCCCAGGTGTTTTTTTTTCTCTTTATTGTTTCTTACAAATGCTTTACCCTTGCAGTGAAGTTTCCTACAAGTCTTCTCTCTCTCTTAGCAGTCTTTATTACCTTATGCTTATTTGGATTGGATTCTAGCAGCCGTTTATCTGCCCAATCCTGATGTTCGTCAAGAACTTCCTGGAACACACTAGTTCTCCTCAGTTCTTAATCTCAATAACTTTGCATCACCTGCAAACACTGACACGTACGAACTCAATTCTTTTGGTATGTCATTTACATAAATTAGAGAGAAATGGTTCAAGGAGAGTCATGGGAAAACCCCACTCTATACTCCCCTCTGGCTAATGATTCTATTTCCTTTCAGTCAAGCACTACTTTACCCAGTTCAGTATCTTTCTTGTTATTCATAATTGTCTATCTTGTGAATCAGCCTTGTGTGAAAAACTGCATTTACAAGCTTTCTGGCACCCTAAGATGATGTAGTCAACCCATCCTTCATTCTCATACCTTATTTTGTGGACCTTGTCATATTATTTAATGAAGTTTGTTAAGCATGGTTTTCCCTCTCTAAATCAGTGTTGTCCCTCTGTTATCAAATATGCTCTCTCCACCTGGCCTCAGGCTGGGCTCGGGAGAACAACTCTCGGAACCCTCTCCAGGTATGCTCCAGGTAAGTATTCCACTATTAATTTCCTAGTATACTGTATGGGATGCAAATTAATAACACTGGTCAATAGTTTAGTGCTTCAAGTCTGTTCTTTTTCTTGAATATTGGTAATACGTACTCTATATTGGCTTCTTTCCAGATTTCTTAGAGCCTTCCTAGCTCCATTGTTATTCTGAAAAGTCTAGTTACAGGGATAACAGAATAATGGCAGTTTCCTTCAGTAACCATGATGATACCTTAATTCAATCCTCCTGCTTTTGCTACATCTAGGTGGAACGGTAGAGCGATGGTCTCGCTTCATGCAGGTCAGCGTTCAATCCCCGACCGTACAAGTGGCTGGGCACCATTCCTTCCCCCCCCCCCTCCCCCCGTCCCATCCCAAATCCTTATCCTGAGCCCATCCAAGTGCTATGTAGTAGTAATCGCTTGGTGCTTTTACCTGATCAGTAACCTTGATCTAGTGCTGCTTTTGACTTATCACCTCTCCTTGAGCACCTGATTTCAGTTTTAAGACCTTGTGAAACCTCTTACTGACTTCTTCTTCTCACACTTCCTCTCTATACATGTAGCACTTTGGTAGTTACCAAGAGAGCAACTTGGCAAAGTGTGTGCTAGGTTGCACAAAAAATAAACTTTTGGATGTATTGAAAACACATTGTCTACATTTTGGGCTGAATGGAGTATTCTCAAGTGTCTCCCCAGCACCAGTATGGGATGGGAACCGCTGAGCAGAATACAGTATCTACCTCTCCCGACTGCAGAAGGTCCTATCCAAAACTAAGAACAGGGAACAGGGTCTTGCTTTGGGAAGGTACCGAGTCTGATATCTGAGAAAGGTCATTTACAACTGATGAACACAATTCTTGTGCCCTGGAAATGCTGGCATTGCCTAATAGAACGACACAAGGAAAAAATTTAGATTTTCTCACTAATAAACGTGTAGCATTACTATGACATGAATGTACACACTGATTTTGTGTAAATGGGAAACCGTACTGGGGTTATGATGTATTATGAATAGTAACTACATCTAAACAAGCTTTGAAGACAGGAAAGTATCTCTTCCCATTTGTCAGAGCCAGGATGCATCAAGCATTTACATGTCCCTTTATGAAACCTGTACATCTTTTGTCAATCATGGTGGCTTAGTCTGTACTTATTAAGCAGTTTTAAGTTCTCTGAAATTTCCCAACCCAAAGTTATTATTGTTAGACAACCTCATAGCACTTTGGAACTCATAAACTGTCCAATAAATGTAAGCTAAGCTGCTATGATTGAAGAAAGATGCACAGATATATGCTGTATGTAAATGTTTGACGAGTCCTGGCCCAGGACATCAGTGAACCAGACTAATATAAATCAAGTCAGTGAGAATACAGTTATAACAGACACCGAGTCACAATAACATGGCTGAAGATATGATGACCAAACCACAAACTAGAAGATGAAGAAACGATGAGGTTTCAGTCAGTCCTGGACCTTTATCAAGTCCATTGTGATGTGATCACAATCGACTTGATAATGGCCCAGGACAGACCGTAACGTCGTCGTCGTCTCTTCATCTTCTAGTGTGGGGTTTGGTCATCATACAGTTATAACCTTCCTTTGTAATGCAAACCACACATAATTATGGAATAAGGTGCAAAGAAGTCCATTTTTTCCAATCTCTGAACTGTTTCACTATTGACATTGGTACTACTAGAGCATTTCTTTAAACATACGCCTTCAAAATATGATAAGATGAAAGGTATTTATTCGCATGACATTAATTTTTGAACAAAGGAACATTGTAAATTAACTGTATAACTAGCATGAGACAGGAAATGACAAGGTAGAAAGATGGTCCCAGGCAAGGGTTTGTTAGTATGGAGTTGGAGAGGCTAGGAACTTTGGGAGATTTTAATCCATAGACGATGGTTTGCATCATACAATGAATTTTCCTTCACACAGGATGAATATACCTAATGTCATAAGACATTTTTGTTACAGAAATTTAAGGAAATTATATGCTTACAAATCCCTATAATCACCAAGATTTAATTGGGAGATATAAATATCTCTGCCTATTAATTCCAAATAAAATTATAAATCTTATGATACACCAAAAAAAAACTTAACTAGAAGAATTTTAGTGAATGTGACACCATCATACCAAAAAATATTTATTAAAAAAATATTAAGCAGACCATTTTTGGGATATGATTTTATTAACCTACATTTATTGAATGTTTTCTCTAAATCCTACAAGAAAATAAAACAGAATATTCAGGTGCAACTGTATAAAATTTCAGAAACTGATATCAGTATCAGAATTTAAGTAATTTAAAATCCTGTAAATCCTCTGAATATTATTATTGTTTTTTAATTTTAATACTTTCAACTCATTTGAATTATTTTTTTACATAAAAAATGCATGAAGGTGTCCCAGAGTCGAGAGATTTGTGCACTCCGAGGGTTAAACTACATTGAAAAACATGAAACTTTACTCGAAGTGAAAACTAATTTGTCTAAAGAATGCCGAGCGATACTTCAGATATCAATTAGGTGAAAAAAAAAAAAAAAAAAATTGCTGCAAATGTAATACTGTGCATAATATACTTGCAGATAGGAATAAACAGTTACATATTTACTTATAGATTCCCATACTATGACTAATGGCGCATTTATAAATATTAACGTTACTTAAACAGCCAAATGCTGTAGCGTCAATAAATTAATGAAAATGTAATACCAAAATATTAGAATTAACTTAGAATACAAACACAGAACTAACAGAATACAAACACATTTACAATTTGATTATTTTTGGGTGTTTTAGTAAAGTTGTGTCCAAGCAGAGTTGCCAAGTTCCTGGGAATTATAGTGAAGTAACTCAGGGGACAGAGGAGATCTTGGTCCAGGATTACAAGCTTACCTCTAGAACATGCCAACAGGCTTCAAGATTCAGAAATACAAATATTTTGTCAAATATTGACAAAACGTGGCTGTCTAAGCCCAATATTTTTGGTTTATGCTTGTTGTACCTGTGTTAGAAGGGGCTGACACTTAAGAAATTTGTTGGCACTTTTCACATGGAATTTAGAAGGTAACTTGCAGATGGTAAACCACTAAGTCTCTTCATGAATAGTGTAGACTTGAGCAAAAATACCATGCTCAAGTAGTAACATATGGAGAGAGGAAGTAAGAACCGAGAACACAGGAGTTCATAAGAATGTCATTATAAATTAAAAAAAAATATAAGTAAATAAATACGGACAGAAATGCTTGAAAAGGCTAAGTAAGGAAATGTTTCCATAAGGCATTTCTAAATGCATGAACCTAATGTTTTATATAATATAGTGAAAGGAGATTCTGCATCAACCACACTGCTATATCTAGCAAAAAGTTATAGATGGGATAACACAAATTAATAAAACTATCAACAAAAGAATGTACATAAAACAAACACATCAACTTTGCTGAAGTTCACTCTGTGTAAAGACTTATTACAGACTATAAACTGACTAGACTTTTGTAATACATTATTGTAAATGGACATGGCTTTGGTATCAAATTTTTCTACTTTAAAAATTCTAAGCTGACATCTTGTCATCTACTGACAAAAATCTCTCTTAGAAGCATTGGCCAGTATTTTGATCCTGTGATAAAAAGTCACTCTCTTGTGTAGCTGCAGAAATTACAATTTGTCTGATAAGACAAGTTCATACCATCTTTGTCTCTGCGAGGAGGAAGGAGACAGAGAATAGCAAGGGCCATAGTTGCGTGCCACGCAGAGTGAACATAGTAGTAGTTGTCATGGGTCTCCAAGAAGGCGTAACATATGAGCCCTGTAACAGCCAACAGGACTCCAGGGAGGAGACACGTCAACCAGTACTGCTTTGCCGGGTAGCATCCGTGTTGAAGTTTGCAATGCCAAACCTGTGAGAAACAAACAACACTGAAGGATATTACAACATCTTGACTGAAAACATCAAATATCAAAGTTCAAACATATATAATAATTTGTATAGGTGCAAAAGTAAATTATCATATGGTAAGACAATTTACTTATAATACATTCATATTACAACTATATGAAGACAAATAAAAATAAACATTTAATGAAAAATCAGCAAAGCATGAACAGTCAAGTACCAAAGCACTACCCAGCACAGGGCAAATCTCCCACAGAGAGAAACATGAAAACTTCAGAAAAGAGATCACTGGGTTTATCATACAGCTCTATCTCAAGAGAGATTTAAGGGGGGGGGGGGGCTTTAGCTCAGAAAATAATCCTGGAAATAAAAACAACACTCACCCAAGACGATGCCATGATAAAGAATGCCGAGGCTGAAGGGACAACAAACACCCACAACCCTGTCCGGTCATACTCTACTCCAAGGGCAACAATCTGTAACCACAGCAAACATTACATTCAATTTGTATGCGAATAAGTAAAATTTAAATAGCACTGTCTTATTAACACGAGTCAATCCTTCTTTTCTGATAAATAACTGGAAAACTTTTTTGAAACCATGAAACAATCAAATCAAATGTGTTAGGAATGATGCCTGGTCAGAGACCGGGTCACTGGGACGTTGATCCTCGGAATCGTCAAAATGTAAATTATCAAAAGGTATGATTTAAGGTGACTATGTTCCACAAAAAAATTTGTATACTGTAATGGAAAAATTAAGCACAGCATTACATTCTATTCTAAAATCAGCACAAGAACAAACAATACTGTACAATGTAACTTTTTTCTATCTATCTCAACACACACTAGAAGCTGTTTGAAACTAGAAGCTGAAGGCTACATATAATGATTTCAATGTAGTTTTGGCATTTGTGTTTGAAAGGTTGCCTCAGTTTCTTCCCAAACTATGTAGTTGTGCCCACTAAATTCACTGATAATCACATCAGGATATATTTATTTATGCCCCATCAACATGGGTATCATTTTGAATTCTCACTACCTCAATTGGGGAGCAGGGAGACAGTGTAGATAGGTTATCCCCCCTGAAACTTACTCAAATCTCATCTAGGCTTAGCAAAGATCAAAATCCAACTAAATCAATCTATTTTTTGAGACCTTATCTCATTGCAAGGTTCCATTGTTTAACCAGTCTCTGGTTATTATATAGCCACTTCGCTAGTTTCAGTATGTCACTGGCTAACATTCAGGCTCATGGGTTTTGGCACTCTAATAGGGTGTTCATGGTTTTGTACTTGATCAGTATGCCTAAGCAGCACTGTGCTTGCATGGCAGTGGGTCATTTGACCCAGTGCTGCCCATTCCTATCCTGTCCTACTTCCTGTAAGTTTGTGGTTGAGTGTTGAAATGCTGTGTGAATGACAGGATTGGCATGTCAGATGCCCCATCTGGTGACAAGTATGTGGTACCAGCCAGTAATTCTGCCTGGTAGTGATTATTTACATAGGTTCAGCATTGCAAATGTGATCCATGCAGTTGCTTGTTTCGGGGCACAGTAACTTTCTGGTATTACTACGGTAATCCGTAAGCCCCAAACTCCTCTTTCCCTTTACTGAGTGGAGTAGATTCTGGTACTGGTCTCTGAAAGATTCTTGTGACTCTTTAAAGCCTAGTGTGTTACCATAGGTTTGACAGCTGTACTAGTGGGTATCTCAAGGAGCTCCCAAGGATTCCAGTATAAAGAGGCTTTACATTATATTAAACCCTGTTATTATGCTATAGGGAGCAGATTCCTCAGTAGAGACTTGAATTAGACTTGCCACTGTCTTCTTTACCATTTTTTTTACAAACGAGGTCATTTGCAAAGATATTAACCAGACATGACGACAAGATCAAGAGAGCCTAGTGCACATATAAGAGTCCCAGGGCACCATAAGGACACTAGCTCAGGGAGCATCAACGGAGCTTTGGAAAATTTGTAAAGAAAAGTGTGCTGGACCAACCAAGCCAATTTGAATCTCCAGGTTGACAATGAAATTAACAAGAATATGCCATGATAAAGAACATCTGGAAACTTACTGCAGATAAAATCCAGTCCCCATCTAGGCATATATGCATGGCACTTCCCGCCACACACTGAAACTACGATGTTGCTACAATGTTGACCAGACCACACACTAGAAATTGAAGGGACGACGACGTTTCGGTCCGTCCTGGACCATTCTCAAGTCGATGGTCCAGGACGGACCGAAACGTCGTCGTCCCTTCAATTTCTAGTGTGTGGTCTGGTCAACATACTTCAGCCACGTTATTGTGACTCATCGCCTGCATGTTGCTACAACGTTCGAACAAGTTTTAACACTTCCTAACCAGTTATAACAACCAATATAGCAAGTTGTAACAACGTTCTAATACGTCATAAACACGTTAAGCCAAGATGTAACAACTTTATTACAAGCTGTAACAAGCAGAAAATAGACAGTTACAGTTTGTGTTTCCAGGGTTAAAACTAATGATACATACTGTATAAGTACTATGCTCTAACCATACTATTTTCACTTACCAGAGCACCAGCAACATGCAGGAATGAGTACAGAGAGTGTGGGAGATCTGCCATCGCAATGAGAGTTACCCAGAATGAAAATATGGCCGAGTAGAAATCACAGAACTGCATGACACTGAGGCGCATGAGACAAAAGTTGTATGCCTCTTGGTCACAGGCATGGTAGAACTGTAAGAAGAATACAACTTTATGAGCATATGTTGAACAATCTGAGAAATTTATTAGAAAAGTCAATTTACATATACAAAAAAAAAAATAAAAATATAGAGCACAAAGTGTAATGAAACACGACTTTCTGGGCCCGGCCTCAATAGCTTCCCTGAAATTACTCTCTAAACGTTCAGATTAGTTAGTGCTAGGTACCAGTGAAAACTTATTGCCTACCTCTTCCTTTTGCCTTCTCTATGAGGTGTGGAGTAAATAATGATCAGAGATCAACCCAAAACTGAGGTAATCCACCCAATAATGCAATGAAATTGTCCACAAGACACCAACACTCCCTCCTATAAATGTTCCCGTGGGGGGAAAAAAAAAAACAGTCGAACTACCAACAAATTTAAATTATTCAATAAGCGACCCCAGCAACTCCCCCCCCCCCCCCTCTTCATCCATCCCCAAGTGGCAGAGGGGCCACTGCCAGCCTATCGTAATGAACAGCTACAAGGAAGCAGGTAGAGACAGAGTGGAACAGCAAGCTAATCTGCCCAAACCTAGTAAAGGCAATTGCATTACACTCAATGCTTTATGTTTGGGTTTCCCCTCAGTAGCTTTGTAGCACTTTCTTCCCACAGCACCTCAAATGAGATCTACTGAAACCAAACAAAAAATCTGAAAACATAAATAGGAATAATAGTAAAGGAGGGTGGGATTCATTGGAGACAGGGACTCATCACCTGATAGAGAAGCAGCAGACACTTACGGTACAAATTAAATGACTGAAGCCAAGGTCAGGCAAGAAAAGGGAGATAGTGCACTATACTATTTCCACCTTCCCTATTGGTGCACCAGAAACCTAGTATCCTAGCAGACAGGGTAGGCTGAATATCAACAGACAACAGACTCATTGGAGCTGCCAGCACTGCTTATCTCCAAACATCATGGGTATGAGAGAAATGGGCTGGCTGAGCTTTATGACCAATCGGAACATCTGCTTGAAGCAGGCCATAAAACAGGGCAGCCTAATACTGCATGAGGATGGAAGAAGAAGAGAACATAATACTTACAGAGGAAGAGACTGATTGGAGCGCCCTCTGTAGGCAAATTGAACCACACTGAGGCAATTCTAATGAAGACAGTGCTGAACACCAGAATAAAGGGACATGAATCCAATCCAATCCAAACCATCTCTAATTCTTTTACTGTAAAAAAGCCTGCTGCAACACCAGCAATCACAAACCTTGTTGTGGCAGCTTGAGACAAAGCTTTAACCGAGACGCTATGCGCTTGTGAACAACTCGAGGGATGAATCCAGTGAATGCAGTAGAATTCAACTTCTTAAAAGCTCAAAGAGAAAAACAAACAGATCCAAGATCTCCAACTGGGCTCCTGGCATTATTCACAGACTGGTCACAGAATCAGCACAGCACTGACAAAATCAGGGTACAGGGCAGTAGCTAACAAAGATATACTGAAGAAAGCAAAGGAGGGGCCCAAAAAGGAAGACACTAAAGACAGTCAAGTCCAGTACCAGAGTGTGACAAGAGGAAGTCTACTTCCTAATAGACAACAAAGCGTTATCTGCAATTTAGAAAGAATGCAGCAGCATACCCAAACAAGGTTAGGATAAGGCCAAATTTGACTGCAAAGTCTTTGAAGTAAAGGCACATCTGAACATGCAATTTTAACCTCAACTTAAAACCTTTAACTTAGAAGGGGATATAGAATATCAACTTCCCAAAAAGAACAGGCCCTCTGTACTGAGGACTAGACTCCAGAATGAGTGAAATAGTGGGAAATTCGAAACTTGCTTGCATGTAGATTTATCGAAGATGGATTCACTAACAATGTCATATATAAAATGATTCCCCCTTAGTCCCATGCTAGTGAGTTCAATTTGTTAATATAGTACTATTGTAACACAACATATAATAATTTTAAAATTAAAACTAATGAAAAGGAAATTTGGTGTGGATTCCAATTTTTATAGAAACATAACACATTTCCAAAGTTATCAATTACTGTTTTCTGATTCACATACAAGTGGTGCACTTTAACATCAAATAATGTAATTAGTATAGTGTAAACATACTGTAATAACAGACTCATGGGGTAATATACATTATATTATTCCTCTTTAATATTTAAACCTAAATGAGTAATGTTGGAAGTAAAAATAGAAAAAAGACTAGTTAAGTTATACTGAACAGTACAGTACTACATTACCGTAGAGAAGACCATGGTGAACGCATAAACAATGGCTTCGGCAAAATATCTTCGCTTTACAGCAAGGACTATGGCTGGCAGGAAGAAGAGATTAGACAATGTGAGTAACAATGTCGCAAGAAGGAGCTCCCAATTCGGTGTAGCCTGAGAACTGTCCGTACATCCCCATCCACGGTAACCTGGCATAAAAGATTAAAATATTATCACAATCAAATTATATTCAAGAGTTAATTTTTTTAAATTAAAACTAAGAGTTCAATAGGATTATCCTTAACAGTCCAATATTCATTTTGCAAGTTAAGTGCTTTTATACCACAGAAGCCTATTTAGAAGCTACATTTTTAGCAGGAACAGGCTGAAGCTAAAGTTACCTGTGGATAAGAGATTCCATATGTTCTATTGTTTTGATGATTAATATATCTACTTGCTGTGAGAACATGTTTCAAATGCAAGTCAGCAGAGGAACATATGATCACTGAAGAAGTAGTGTTCTTTAGAATGGTACACTTATTGTGACATGTCTGCTGTCTCAACACCTTGAATTGGACTAGGTATCTAATGGTTTCCACATAGTTGGCTAAAGCAGGGAACTTTAAAAATACTGTAGTGGGTAGCCGACATCTCTCTGGTGGGCAGCCAATTTCTCTCTGGCATTAATGAATTTGCTGAAATGACAGGCAGCATAGGTTGGTGATTAAGATGACTCACCAAGCATGGTCCACTACAATGGCACAAATTTTAGGCTGAGCAGGCTGAGAAAAACACTTCATAATACCTTCAGAAATGCAACTTGCAGGGAAGCACCGGAAACAATATATGGTGAAAACCAGCTGGGAGATCGGATGCTACGAAACAGACTATAAACTCAAGACAATCCCCGACCTGAGAACACACAGTAAAGGATGGTACGTATAAGCCTCTACAGGAGCTAAGAGCTGAAAAAAAACCACAGCACCCTCATTAGAGTATTGGTACTATAGCCCACAACAACAAAGAGGCTCTGTCGAGGTACTTCAAGAGGAGAAAACACAAAGGGCAAACTCCTAACCCCTCTCAAGGAAGATAACCTTTACCAAAGACAGGGGCAACTCCAGTAACGCCTGTAGAAGATACATGTAGCCACACGCAGTTGAGGCAAACAAAGACTCAAAAGTTACAAAACAGTGTAGCCGAACAAATAGGGATATGAAGCTGAAATGAACAAGCAGCAGCACAAGTCCTTGCACAGAACAGTCCAAAATGGAAAGCCAATGCTTAGCTGGGTTGTAAAGCCTCAATAGCAGTAGGGTACTAGTGGGACTGCCATCTCGTGGTGAGCAGCATTGCTAACTAGTGGTTGGTTCTGGAAGAGACCAGATATAGTTTGCATCAGGGTTACTGATGATTTCCATACAGTTGCTTGTTTTGGTGCACAATATTTATGTAGGGTTGTTCTTTCAGCCTGGGCTGATCTACATATCCCTAGACTCCCTTTGCCTCTGTTGAGGGTGTCAACTTCTGGTACTGGCCTCTGGTAGATGTTCATGTTTTTAAGAGCCTCGTGAGGTGCCAAAGGCTGGCAGGCTGGTAATATGGTATGAATTTGTAAGTAAAATGCATCACGATTTCAAAGTGTAATGTTTGTAATACAGGGTATAAGATATGCTTTTAAAAGAAACTAACCTGCATCACAAACACATGTGGAGAAAATGAATCCCCCAGATATATACTGGAAGCAAGAACCATATCTGCCACACTTTCCTTGAAGACATGAAGCTGAAGTTACGCTGAACACCACAGTCGTGTCATTCACACTACACTCCACCATTTCACTGTAAAATAAAAATAAAAGAACAGAGTGAAATCAAATGATTTATTTCATACCAGTGCCTAAGAGGCTTGCCTATGCATAATTCTAATTGCAAAACAACAATATGTATCTATTCCCTATGAGTATAAACAAAAATTCCAAAACAGCAGTCATAGGAGACTGGAAAATAAATATATATATTGTAGTTTTATTTTTTGCATTTACATACAGATACCTTACATTTGAATATACAATTTTTCATGTGAAAAAATAAACAGCATTGAATGTAATGAAACGCCCTTTTCTTGGTGATCCCAGGTGACTGTGAAGCTAACTCGTTGAGATAACTTTCCAGTCACATCAGTCTTAGGCCTACCAGGGGCCTAGTCCCAGAAATTACTTCCTAACACAGATGCACAGAGAGCAGGGGATTGTTATGATCACCCTTACTGGGAAAGCAAATAGAAAAGTAGGCAAGACAATACATAAAATTCCATGGTTCATATGAAAACGAAGTACCAAAATTACCAACAGCCTTTGGGATGCTTTTATGTACCATAAAAGCATCCCAAAACATCTCGGATGCCTTTCATAATCTTCATGGCAAGTTCACTTCTGTAGTGGGGTTGATCTCTGATCCTCACCCATTTCCCACCTCATGGAAGGTGCAATACAGTGTGAAATGGTATACCTGGAGTATACTTAGAGTGAGTTCTGAGAGTTGCTTGTGTGAAGACTTGATCTAGAAGGCAGGAGCAGTCTGTAGGTCGCAATTTTCACAGAAGTCTGAGATGTCCAACATTTATTTTCCTACAGTCCCAATACCATGAGTAAAGAGAGCTACCAAGAGAGCCTATCCAAAAAGAGGGGGCAATTATTTAGAAATCCAGATTCTTTGTGAATCTGGATTGAGTCCAGAGCAATATGATACATATTTTGAAGCTGCTGTTGTATTATTTTGTTAATTATGTGCGAAAAGCAAATAGTTGCGATAAATTTAGTCACCTCATGTAAACGTCATCTAGCCAGAATTTTTAGATGAGGACATACTCAAGTACATATTAGTCTGAATAAATGTTACCCTTGAAGCTCCAAAAAGAGAATAAAAATAAGAAACTAGGATGAATGTCATTATTATTACTGTACTGTATATAGTTTTTGCACTTCATGCAGAAGAAATGTACAGGTGTAATGTAAAAACAAACCTGGTATTAGTAAGATAACATGCTGGGATAAGCGTCAGGTACCACGGCCCAGGTTCTGGGAAAGGTATTAGGACCATTGTAGCTGCATCATTCAGACTAGAAGTGTTGACTAGTAGACTGTGGCCACGAGTACACTGACCGCTTGCATCTGGTGCCTCACGTACTCCAAGAGCCACACATCCAGCTACACTAAAATTGTGTGTACTTATGTTCTGCAATGAATAATTATTATATGTACCCTGTACCTGTTAGCTTGGCTTTGTGATTTTAATGTGCATCTCAGACAAATTTAAGATATTCTAGGACAACATGTAAATGCAAAACTGACCGATATAGTTTAAGCATAAAATTTTCAATCATACACAAGGACCTACCCTATACTTCACATACAGCACCCATCCACCTCCCCCACTACCTCGAAACATACTCAAACATACAACTACACAAATGTACAAACATTAAATTATACTCATCACTTACCATAAATGGAGAGATGGCCAGTTCAACAGAAAGTGTTCCTCCAATATCTATAATTGGCTCAAGACGAAAAGCAAGTAGTGTCGGTGAAGCATTGGTGATATTTAAGAGAAGTGGCACAGACCCATTTTCATCAGGTGGCAAGTCATATTCAAAAACAAAGTTCCCTCCAAACGTCTTTTTGACCAAATTATACCTGAAATGAAAGAACAATCATGGGGCCTATCTTCCAGAAGCTTCACGTGAATCCAAACACAGCACTATACTAAATTTAAAGGTTGTCGTCAAAATCTCTCTCGACATTAAAACTCATAACATATTGCTTAAAAATGTACCATAGGTAGAGATTTCTAAAATGCAACAAACATGTTATCAAGTGTAAACTGTAGAGTATACACACATTTATTCATACACAATTTATATAATAATTTATATAAATTGCATATGAATAAATGTGTGTACAATTTGCAGGTACGTTATCCACAGACTCATCTTCTCCATAACATAGTGAAAAGTACCTTATTTGTAAATTGTTCACATGTTTATCGAGTACAGTATTACCCAATTCACACACAGTTTATAAATGTACCAATGCTCAGGTCATGTCATGAGGTGTGATCCTCATCCATACAGTACCACTACATTCATGAGGTTTGATCCAAGAGAGAGAGGACGTACCCCCATAGTTCCCAGATAGGCCGACTAGAAGCATGTATGATTGGGGTGGCAATCTCTCTAGAAAGACAACCTTGAATTTTTTATTTGCTTTTTAACTGCTCACAGTCACACCATAGATTTATCACACAATTTCATTAAAATCTGTTGACTATGATTTATAAAAGCACTGGGAATGTGTCAGCAAAGGCTTCAACTAGTGGTACTGTATACCCAAAAAAGAAATGCGTTGTGCTACGTGACTTCAAAAATATAAACAAATTCGAAAATGTAAAAGTGCTGTCCCTCGGGGCCAATTCTGTAGAGTATAGCATAACAAGGACCACTATAAATGCAGTAATATGAAAAACAAAATAAAATATCCTTTAGATTTATAATTCTAAATAAACCACTACATTCTAAATTATAACCACTACACCACAAGGGCTGCAGACAAAATTAAAATTAAATTAAATAAAATCATAAGAACTATATCAACAGGATAATACCAAGTCCACTTAAAATCAAGACTGTTTTATGCATTTTGCATATGGCATAGACAGCAGCACCATTAACAATTTGCCTAGGCGATAATTCATATTGTGTCCTTAAATACAGTGGAACCTCGGTTTTCGAAAGTCCCTGTTTTCAAATTTTTTGGTTCTCGAGCTCAATTTCTTCAAAAAATTTGACTCGGTACTCGAAGTTTGCCTCGGTGCCCGAGTTTGTTGATACACGTATGGGCCAACTGAGCACATGGCGCACTTTAGTTTACCAGTGTCTCCCGCCTAGAGACGACCGTGCTTGAATTCTTTGTGAAGAATGTTTTTGTGCTTTTTTGGTTTCTGAACATAAAAGTTCTCATTATATATCACAGCATGGGTTCCAAGAAAGTCAGTGGTAAAGTTCAACCTAAGAAAATAATTGTGAGGATGACAATAGAGGAAAGACAAGAGATCATTCATAGTGAGACATTGTGATGTCTCACTACAGACAAGTGTTAAAACGTAGGAAAAAAACAAGTGCCTATAGACAGATTCTTTGTAAGACAAGCAAGCAGTGAACCACAACCAGGTCCTATTGGTATGCCTGCAAAATGTAAGAGAGCGAGAGTACCCCAGAAATGTCATTACTGCCAAATTACACACCATAAGATGAAGAGATGACGACACTTTGGTTCGTCCTGGACCATCATCAAGTCAATTGAGTTCGATATCACAATCTACTTGATAATGGTCCAGGACGGACCGAAATGTCGTTGTCTCTTCATCTTCTGGTGTGTGGTTTGGTCATCATGGCTCCCTTGACAAACACAACAAAAACTTCATCACCAAAGAACACAATAACGCTCTCCAACCCGACAACCAGCAGCAAGGACCAACAAAAAGAAAGCCTTAACCCCCGAAGCACTGGGGAATTACTTAGGGGAGCCCCTCCCAGAAAAGCCAAATTAAATTATAAAAATTAGTTAACAAATTATGTTAAGAAACAATGTATCATGTCACTACAGCCAAGGCCTCATGCATATTATCCCCATTATCTGTCACAGTAAAATTGTGCATGGTAAGCATTACCTTGGCCAGCAGCTATCCTCAATGTCTTGCTTGGTGTTGAGAGCGGGCATGAAGAGAATGCGACGAGGCTGTACCTGTTCCTTGATAACAGATGATGCATTGACAGAATCATCTGTGTCACTGGTCGAGTAGTTGAGAAATGAAGGGTTCATTGCTCCTATACTCTCCTCTGGACACAACTGGTTCAGGTTCATCTTACTTATGAGATGGTAACTACTGCCTTCAACTGCATCACACACTGATCCAACAAAAAAAAAAAAAATGGATTATTTACAGATAGATCTCAATAACTGTGGAGCAGACAAATGTCAACAACTGTTGAGAAAAACAGCAATTTTGAGAGCAGACTATTAGTAGCAATATTATTTTGTCTGCATGTATTTTATTTAAAGGAAGGCAAGGTGGAGGTGGAAGTCAGGTCAGAAAGGCGAGGAATTACCACAATTTGCATATTTCTCTCAGAAATTTATCAAAATGATATGTTGCAAAACTGATATTCTTTTATTTTTTTATGATATTTTAGTGTTTGATGGCTGAAGATTCCATACACTTTCTTCTAAAGTTGTGTTCTTATTTAATGATGAGTTGAGCATTCATGAATTTTATGAGGTAATGCTCCTGGTTTCTGCAACACATGCATTGCCACTCTCTTAACAGATTTAGCAAAAAAAGCCTAATTATGTTGTTATATGTTGACCAGACCACACACTAGAAGATGAAGGGATGACGACGTTTCGGTCCATCCTGGACCATTCTCAAAAGTCGATAGATATGTTGTTATATCCTTGTAAGTAAACTTCTGAGTGTTTCTCCAACCTATACATTGCCACAATTACTACATAATTTGTTCTTATACTCCAACCTTAATGAGGTTATCTAAATGTTATAGATCTTGTCTACAATCAAAAGTGCAAGATCTGCAGGAGCTCTAATCCAAATTCCAGTTTTCCAAATCTTTGGATAACCCGAGTGAATTCTTATTCATCATTCTAAAGTCATTTTTACCCTCACTCAAGGGTAAACGGTGGGAGTAAGAGTAAACTAAGGGTATAAATGGTGTAAGCAAGCAGGTAAATGGTGGGAATTAGCAGGTAAACAGTGGGAGTAACAGGGGTTGTGGTAAGAAAAATTGGAAATTTGTTAACTTATAGACATTCCTGGTAAAAAACTTGGCCAAGTCAAATGGGAATGGGCCATATATAATTGGGATTATCCATCATAGACAATACAGTTAAACATTCATAAAAGAACATATCTTTTTTACTAAGATATTCTACTAGAGATATAAAAATAGAATATATTTTAATAAATGTGAAATGTGATTATTTATGCCAGTGTAAAGTTAGGCACATAAATTAAGGCTTCTTTTCTTTCCAAAACAACCTATTTCGTGAAAACAAGTTCATTTTGTAGCAAATTTTTTGCAACAAACTCCTGAGTTGTTAAATCAAAATTCATAAAATCAAGCCTCCACACTATTGTGCACTATTAATATGAGTAGTGAGAGTATTCAATATCCCTATATAGATATTAAAAAAAAAAATGTAATAACTCACAATAGAGTTTAACAGCTAAACTGAGTTGAACCGAAGTGCCAACTGGTGTTATAAGCATCAAATAATGCCATGCTTCCTCCTCAGGCACTACTTCCATGGTACACGTGTTGCCCTCAACTTCATCACACCTGTGAGTACTGGCAATAAAAAGTGAAAAATCAAGCATCAAATATAATGATATTAATGAAATGCCCTTTCCAGGACACCCTCAGTAGCCCCCCCCCCCCCCCCACTGTGCACTGGAGGTGGTACCACAGAGACCATCAAAAATGTGCCAGGCCTCTGAACGTGTTCAGAGGCCTGGCACATTGAACACCAGGACCAGAATTGAGGACCAGGACCACATTGAGGCCTGGCTACTGAACACCAGGACCAGAATCTAGTGTGCTCACTGAGGCAAGAGGAGTATGGGGGACCCAAGATCAAGCTCAAAACTAACTAAAACTCCCCACAAACTATGTCGCTTGACGAAAGAAAGAAAATACGGAAATAAAAGAAGCGGTAATTAGTTCGATGTCTACAAATCGAGTGCAAGTATCCCAGTGCCACCAGATCACACCTCAGGTCACCCACGGAATCCAGTGGCTCACCCAACATGCTCAAGTGCTGCCCCAAATGACCCTGATAGGCCACCAGCAACAACAAATGTCGCACACCTTTGGATGAAACAACCCTTGAATCTAACATGCTTAATAACAGATGTAACAGTAATGTTCATCAGTTTCCAAAATCACTGACTTGCATCTCTAAAAGTTGTAAGCAGCATAAACCAAGTCATAGGTAAGCGAGAGAGCCATGATGACAAGAAGCAACTAAGAGACGATATCTAAGCAGGTGGGCACTGGGCAGGTAAAACCTTTGAATGACCTGATATGCACCTGGTGGCATGGTTAGGATACTAATGCTTGTTTCATTTATTTTTTACAATAGGCAACCTATCGTACTCCCTATTTTTATAATTTCTTCCTTTCATTAAGACATAGTTTGCAACCCTCCTTTCTGGGTAGTTTTTCTTGGTTATGAGGTTGATCTTTCTTCTTCATGTTCCTCTCACCTCTACGAGCACGCCAAATTCTGGTACTGGTGTTCACAGTGGGCTTGTGTAAGTCCAGAATTCTGGTAGTTTTGTAGCCGTCTGTGGTACTAGAGCAAATGCATTGAGAACCTACTGAGGGATTGTTCATAAAAGTTGAAAGTTCCTTGGATAAACCTTGAATTTATGCTAGTTATTTGTTGTGTAAAAACAGCTGTAGTTGACTTGCATTTCAAATACTGTACTGGACTTTATTACATGTGCTCTGTAAGATGATAGAACATTCATTTGACATTATGTATCTCAAATTTAAAAGTCTAGCTTATTGAGTAAAACAAAAAGAATGTACAGAAACACCAAGTTAAGAGTACAGTACACTTTAGAGACCGATGCCTTGCCCTTGTAGACAAAATGTAATTCACCTACTCTCTTAACTTGTTGCTACTTTACATCATTGTCAGCCCTTGGTGCTCTATTCAACAAAGTATAAAAACCTTACGCTGTATCGGTGGAATTTGGGTTTGGCAGTGCTCGCGTTCTAAAGCCAACAGTTACAGGACACGAAGGAGTATCCCCATCATGAAGAACCACACAGTTGCTGATATTCACAACAACCAACCATGTAGATGATGGTACATAGAATCTATTGGGAAGAGAGCAGTAACAGTAAGTCATTAAGGAACAACATGAAATTTAAGGGACCCTGAGTCAATTCAGTGCAATTTGTTTCATGTTTTGTCAGAATATTAAAAAAAATATGAATGTGTATTGTAAGCCAATATTTACGGGAGTGTACATGACTCCCGTAAATGTATGTGTACATGAACTGAGTTAATAAAAAAAAATACATTATGTAAACCAATAAGTGAAGCCACAAATATTAAAACCATTCAACATGATCATGAGACTCTTCATCCCTACATGAAGAGTCAGCCAACTGTGTATCTCATCAATAGATCCAATGCATCTCACCCATTCCAAATGTGCACAAAACCAGTAAATCTTGGATATTTTTTTTCCCTTCCTTACTTTTTGCTTGCAAATGTTCTATTATACAAGCCATTTTTTTTTTTGCACAACAGCAAGCTAGCAACTTTGATAACAGCCATTCTGTAAGGCTTAAGTTTTTGTTTATATTTTCCTTGAAGCTGTGGATGGAAATGAAAACGCTTGAATAACTAATGAGGAAGCTCCCCAGAAATAAAAGTGTTGAGTGTAATGAAATGCCCCATTCTGGATGATACCTCAGTAGCTCCCATTCCTACCCCATTCTTCCATCTAATTTATTAAATAGTCTTTTGGGCTTCTCAACTTTTGGTGAGGAGACAGGCTTGCCAGAGCCTTGAAGAGCTCAGCCCCCCCTCCTGCAGTTAAACAGGAGAGGCCGCTATACATTTTGTTTGGTGGTTTGCTAATAACCAAACATTCTCAGAGGAAGTTTTTAATATTTCCCAACATTCATTTTCAGGGCAGTTCCTCTGTAGTGTGCTGATTTATTATCTGAACTTGCTCACCAGTCAATGAAGGAAGCAAGTTGGTGCGAAAATGTGCTTGCTCCGAGTGGTTCAAGATGGTCACAGGAGCCTGTTGTGTCTGCCAGGGGGACAGATGAGTCCAGGGGGACTTACCACTGGATGAAGCTAAGAGTAGCTACTGAGGTGCCATCCAAAATGGCACCTTGATAGTTTTGAGGTGCAAATTTTGAGTGACAAAATTCATTTAAAATTAAACAATTTATTTGCTGCTTTAAAATAGTATACAATATTTATCAACATCATTTTGAATTAAAAAATATATACAGTATAGCTGAAAGAGGGATGGGGTTTGGTCTTGTATTTTACTTCCTAAAGGATACAGTATGTTAAACACTAACCTGTAATACTGAGTATTTTCAATGTTATGGTAGAGCTGTATCTCTTGGTGGGAATGTATTTCAGGCACAACAGTTACAATGTTGTTTTCTTGCTGGTATGTCACCTCTGCCTGCAGCCAGGAGTGACAGGATGGAAAAAGACCCTAGACAAGAAAACACCTGTTAATCCATTATTCTCCTGTGTAACCAACCATACAAAATAATTACAAACCATGTATGTACAGTACTTTATATAATGTATGTATATAAATGTAAAAAACAACTTCACTTAAATGACTTAGCATGTCCTACAGTTCAATTGGTCACTGGGATATTCGCAGATATACTGTACAGTCGTATGTGTGTGTTCCATATTATTTAGCATATTTTTAGTAATTTTTCTGAGAGGGCCCTCTTGGCTTAATTCTGGCTTACACTTCTGGAACTTTACAAATTTTAGATACCACACCAGACTCACGAGCCCACACGCACCAGGTGTGTGTGTGTGTGTGTAATTACCCAAGTGTAGTTACAGGATGAGAGCTACGCTCGTGGTGTCCCGTCTACTCAGCACTCTTTGTCATATAACGCTTTGAAATTACTGACGGTCCTGGCCTCCACAACCTTCTCACCTAATTTGTTCCAACCGTCTACCACTCTTTTTGCGAAAGTAAATTTTCTTATATTTCTTCGGCATCTGTGTTTAGCTAGTTTAAAGCTATGACCTCTTGTTCTTGAGGTTCCAGCTCTCAGGAAATCTTCCCTATCGATTTTATCAATTCATGTTACTATTTTGTATGTAGTGATCATATCACCTCTTTTTCTTCTTGCTTTCTAGTTTTGGCATATTTGATGCCTCTAACCTCTTCTCATAGCTCTTGCCCTTCAGTTCTGGGAGCCACTTAGTAGCATGTCTTTGCACCTTTTCCAGTTTGTTGATGTGCTTGTGTGTATGTTTTTATTTATTTATATATATATATTATATTATACAGTACTCTTCAATCTTATTAAGCTCATTCCATTTGCATATATACACTTATATATACACTTTTGAAGAACATAACAGCAATTCATACATACTGCCTGTGTGATTCGGTTGGAAGTCTCATTGATAAACGCAACCATAAACCAATCACCAGCCACAGGATTTTGGACGGATAAATATGAGGGTTTCAAATCTGAACGTAGAGACACCTCGTACACCTGGGAACGATTCACCCAGAGTCCAGGTGGATACTCTGCACCATCAGGATTCACTACAGGATAACTCTCTGCTTGCAGGAAACTGAAAATAGGAAATAGCTTATATTATGAATAATGAAATAATATCTTGCAGGTCATAAGAATTAAAACTATTTGCAGTTAAGATGTTCAGTAATGTAGCATGTTGGTAGAAAATATTCATAATAAACTTATAATACTTTATTTTATTTGAACCAATTATTTACTATTAATAAAATAATAATATAATATTAAGGCTCAAATTGCATGCAAAATCCTAACTTCTAAAGTTCTATTGAAGGATGATAAATCAATCACCGAACATAACATAAAAAATACTGTACTATCCTTACTCCCTAAAGCATTTAACTTTAAAATTTTTATAACAAAATGGCAGGCATATATATATATATAAAAAGCATTGTATGTACAGTAAATGAAACATTCCTATCCGAGCTGAGCACTTGGTTACTCTTTTAGGCAATATCCAGATTTCCACAGATGCTCTTTAATTTTTAGCCTAGGTCAGTGCAAGAATTCTCAATCCAATCTTGAATGACCATCAAATAGTACATTCCTCTACACTTAACCCTTAAAAGTAAATTATTGCCCATGTTGATCCTCGAGTCAATGCAGTCATCCTGATTTTTGGAGTTTAATTATCACCACCTGGTTTTAATACAATTGATGTAAATATGTAATAATAAACTACGGATGTTCCCGTAATGGCATTAACCAAGACTCATGAACAATTTTTGCTACTGTATTGTTTTTAATTTATTACTGTACTATGAAACAGAAGAGGGAAGGAGGAAGAGGGGTAGAGGGGGAAATTATTTGATACTTTATACCAGCATTTCTCAACCAGGGTTCCATGGAACCCCAGGGTAACTAGAGGTTCCACAAGAGATAGTGATAAATAGGGTAATTCTAACCATACGCAAATGCATTTCTGTGTCATTTTGGTGTTTAATTTCTCACTTAACCAGACTCAAGAGCAAACACAGAAATCATCTTCTCTCAGTTAGCAACAAAATCTGTGTGTTCATCTAAAATATGACTTAGATTATTTAAAGGATATACAGGTTGAAAAATGCTGCTTTATTCAGTACTGTATTATAATAATTACAAGCACATGCAATCACTAAATTTGCTGAACAGCTGAATAAAACAAACAAGAGGATAACATGAAACATATGGTATGATGTGTACTGAAATGACACCTAACTTCAGTCACACTTTGCAATTTCAACATTTTCACTTAACAATTGATATGACAAATAAGTTACATGATCCAACATACTCAGTCACACACAGGAATCCCAATAGCATGATGCATCAAATGACCAAGTCCACAAGGGCTGTGATAAGGGTTCGAACCTATGTCCGAGAGGATCCCAGACGCACTTCAATCTATTGTGTCATGACAATCGACTGTGTCATGGCACAGTCAAATAAGACGCGTCTGGGATCCTCTCGGACTTAGGTTCGAACCCTCATCACAGCCCTTGTGGATTTGTTTATACTCAGTCACTTTACAAATCTCAATTATTCTTATGATGAATCATTATGAACTGATTGAATCCTGACTTCACTAATTCTGGGTACCACCACAATTCATACAAATATCAGAATAAGAACCAAAGATGATAATATTTAAAAAATTGGGTTATTAATATTAATACAATTACATACTATACTTTTACCAATCAATAAGAATCAGAGGGAACAAAAGGAAACAACAAACCTCTCACTTATCTTTCCTTTTCATTTATTAACATCAAACAATTCAGATCACCACATAATTAGCCTCCAATGGCTATCATTTAATTACCACAAATATAGATGTATAGCTGGTGAAAAACCTAATCACACATCATAGTTTTGACCAGCTATAAAAACATTTCACTTCTCCTACACGTTTTTAACAAGTCCAACACATCAAAACTCTACCCTTCTCCACAGTTCTACCATAGCCATAAATAACGCGTTTGTCATTAATTCTGGCGAAAGACTCAAATTCACCAAGGATGAAAATTCAATTAAGCATCACTGGACACTGAATTTAGACAGACATAAATGGAAGCTTCACCTCAAAGAATGACATAACCATTTTGCATTTAACAAGTTAACAATGATTCGCAAAGCTGTTGGTAGGTGCACCCTGCATAGCCACACCACACTACAATTGCTGGACCATCCTGGAACAGAGCAAGTTCTACAGCCGAGAAAAGTCCAACTGACTTGAAGTGATTTGAATAACACAACCATTGTGATGGGATCCCTGGATTTGAAGGTTCTCATAATTCATCCTATACTTTTTTGACTGATGCAATATTTGCTTGGTTATGCTCCCCAATATATTTTAACTCAAAATTGAGCTACATAGGATCACTCCTCTTTGAACTCGGTTGCTTACTTGATGAATTAATCACACTGTCTCCTCGACTCTTCTTACTCCAATACACCTCTCTCTTTTTACTCACTATCTCTACATCAATCTCTCTCTCCTCTCTCCTGCCCTCCTGGAAGCCAAGCAAACAAATAGTTTATAGGTTGTTAGTTCCAGCAGAGCAGTCCATTGGAAGTCAAGCATTCCTTGGATGAGGTTTCCGAGTATTGAAAAATGTACATTTTGATGGTCATCATGTGCTGAATTGAGAATTCTCCATTGTCTTCCCATCCTCTTCTTACAACATGACAGAAGCACTTAGCCTCATAAAGATTCCCATTAAGTCAGGAAATAGAAAGTCACACTGGCCCAAAAAGGGCTTTTCAATATCATGAGAGAAGTGGGAAATTACCTAGTGGTGCAACAGAGTGGGCTATGCTCTGAAAAACTAAACTTACACAGTAATGTTGCGAGGATCACATGCCAAGGTGTCATTGGCAGTGAAATTATACAGTGCCATAGACACATGTGCAGGAACTGAGAAGTGGAAGATCTGAACATCCTTATATGAGCGGTAAACATATACCTGTCTCCCAGCCAGCACCTCGCGTAGCACCATCCCTCCTGCATTATCAAGAAAACAAAAAAGATATAGTTGCATACTGTATTTATATGTACTGTATAAATGAAGTACTGAATGCAACTATATGTCCTTATCTGGTGGGCTTCTCAGTAGCTCACCAAGCTTAAGCAGTGGTATGGCCAAGCTTGAAAAAATTGCATGAAGTATCAGAGACCCACCCTGCCTATCAGGAACCAGGACCAGAATCTGGTTCACAATGAGAATAGGGGGAACCTGGGGAAGTTAAGCAGTTGTGTTTGTATACTTGTAACGAGTTCGCTTCCTACCCTGTTGGTGCCGGTCCATTCAGCTTGTGCTTGCCTGACCTTGCCATCTCCTCCACTGGTTTTGGGTGCTTAGCAGCTGTGGCTCAAGAGGTTCACAGGCTCTGACACATGTTCAATACCATACTGTACTGTATCATGGGAACCAGTGAACATTAAGAACTAATTTTTAAATGAATTGCAGCATGGTTCAGTACAGTATTTGTTTTCTTTTGGCATGTATCCCAGGTGATTTTTTGAGTTAAGTTTCACATCCAGAGACCAACACTTGACATTTTTAATGCTGTTATCCCAACATGTCATATTAAACATAGTCTTAACCTTCATAGATGTCTACCAGTTGGTCTCCCTAACCTTGGGGGATTCTACATATGCATGAATGGACTAAAACCAACTTTTTCATTTTAAACACCTTTGTTTGAACTATCAAAATATTATTTTCCCCTTATGAATCTCACAAGATACATACATCAGGATATCAAAAATACTTGTCACAGATCTTTTCACTAAATGTTCATTTGCAGATATCTACTATATTACGTATGTACTTGAACTTGTATTATAGCCTTATAATTCTTAAATGTAAGCCTCTGTTCGCCCAGCAGTGAATGGGTACCTGGTTGTTAAAACGATTTGGTGGGTCGCATTCAAGGGAAAATTAGGATTAAGGACCTGCCCAAAATGCTGTGTTAGTGGGTTTACAAGACTGTATGAACTCTTGTATATATAAATAAAAAATACACAATACGTAAATGCAGATGCTCAGGCGATTTGTTGACGACTTTTATTGAATAATGCTGAAAATGAGGTTTATTAAAAAAAAAAAGAGTGAAGGGAAATCTTCCCCATGTGCTTCTAATCTGAAGCAGGAATTAAAGCCAGGACCTTTCGGCTGTTACCCAACTGTGTAATAATGTTATGCCTCTACATGTAGGGTGGTGCATTTTCAAAACTGAAGAGCAGTTGCCTGTTTTCTGATAAGAGGTATGAGTAAGAGTGGAATGACTCATTTTGTGACCCTAAATATGTCCGTAGTTCACACAAACTTAATACTGTATAGTATACTGTACTATCATAGCTCTGCTGAACAAACCTTAACATAATTAAACAAATTTAGATTTGCTTTAGCAATGAACATGCAGTTCTTTAGTTCACCGGGCATCAAATGGTTCTTTGTCTTCTAATTGGCATGTTTTATACAAAGATAATTCACACTGGAAAGAAACCCTTTCTGGTTTATCTACTCATCTCTTAATCTTTAAAGAAATCACGTTCATTATAATATTTTTTGTTAACCTACCTTCATTCTCCAGGTTGTGGTGGGGGTGTGTGGGCGAGGACTGTGGGGGGTGGGGCAGGCCGGCCACTGTGGGCAGCAGCAACACAGCCCACACCACCCACAACCCACACCACCCGCCACACATCACGCCTCCTGAAGGTGCTATAGGGCCAATATATGCGTGTTTAGCGAGAGTGGTAGCACCATGTTACCAGTGACGTAGGGAAGGGTGGCGGGCCCTCCTCTGCCAGCACTCAAAGAGCCAGGGCTCTCGTGGTGTTGTCCCAGTAGAGCCACCTCTACTCTGCCTCCTCCTCCTCTGTCTTGTCAACAAAGAAACAGGTGATATTGTGGAAGCGTAAACAGTTAGGGGGTCGTGTCTTGGTAAGGTTATATTCTGTATCTTTTGACCTTTTAAGTTTTTTGATTCATATAATTTTCATCTAAAAAGCTTCTAGTCGTGCCATCATGCAAAGTTGTTCTATATAAGCATTGGATGTTGTAAGGGGTTTCCCACAACCAGGGTAATTATATGTTTTATAATTCGTTTATGCAATACTTTAATACTAATATATAAATTCCATATGAATTAAATATCATTATTATATTTGTTATTATTGTTATTTAATCTTAGCTAGACTGTGTAAAAATTTAATCTGCATCAGAGAGATTTCAGCTTACGTGTTGCATGAAATGGCAAATATATATTAGACGTAGACTACTGTGCTACAGGATCCATTCCCATACACAATCATTGTAGAGTCCGTGAGGTCAATACAAACATTAAAATAAACACTTATATTACGATGTTAAATATTATGCTTAATATATTATATCGTACCTCACGTCCGCAGCCCCTATGGATACACAGACAATGCAGCACCTTGTGAAGCTCTTATCAGGTTCCTATCACAATACACAATCCTGTGATTTTTTTTTTTTTACCTGAGAGCCACTAACACTAGTAGTCTCGGCGAGGACAGGAAGCCGGCGGCTTGTTGAAGGTCTCCCCCCTACACCATTTGCCTTGATGATCTTTTCAAGTTGTACTTTAAAAGTTAACAGAGTTTTGGCATTTATGCTTTCGGCGGGTAGGCGTTTCCATGGGTTCCTTGCTGACTTTATAACACCAGCTCTCTCGCCTGTGGCCATCTTCCCTCTCCTGTTTAAAGGCATTTTAAAGAAACAATTAAGACAGCTTTCCTCATACCAAATAACGGCAAACCAATTCTTCCCTTGTCTTCACTTTCCACAAGCTAGTAGGCATTCGTGGGTCGTTGAAAGCCTTTGGGAATGAAACAAAATATTGTATTTATATTGCATTTGAAAATAAATACACTGGGAATTTAAAGTAAAACTATTTAATTAAAATATAAAATACATCAACTGAAAGTAAAGAGGACATAAATGAGAGTAAAATAATACCACATTTATATAAGGGTAAACAATAATTAAAGTATTCGTGCATGTTTGTGTGAGTGCTTGTGCATATATCTGTGAGTGATTACTTGTGAGTATATCTGTGAGTGAATACTCACAGTGCATATATTTGTGAGTGAGTGCTTATATATGTCTGTGTGTGACTTCTTGTATATGTTTGTGTGAATTCTCGTGTATATTTGTGCGTGAATACATGTTATTCATTGTGTATGTTTGTATGTGAGCATTCCTTTATGTTTGTGTGAGTGCTCGTGTATGTTTGAGGGTTCGTGTGTGTTATTTTAATGCTCATGTATGCGTGAGTGCTCTTGTAAGTGTATGTGTGTATGAGTTCTCGTGTATGTATGCTTGTGTAAGTGCTCGTGTATGTTTTGTGAATTTTTATGTATATTCACATGTGTCCTCGTGTATATTTATGCCCGAATGCTTGTGTGTGTGTGTGTGTTCGTTTGAGTGTTTTATATGTTTACATGTATATGCTGGTGTATGTTTGGGAGCGAGGCTAAAGCTGTTGCTAGGCAACCGGGAGCATTCCTAGGGGGAACGCGAGGAGTCGAACCAGTGACACACAACTTTGTGCCGAGTCCAGTGATCGCCACGGTAGGCTCCAGCCTATAGTACACACACTTACCTACCTATTTACTGCTAGGTGAACAAAGGCATTAGATGAAAGGAAACGTGCCCAATCACTTTTGTCCCGCCCGGAAATCGAACCCGGAAATATCTACTGTGAGCCGAGAGAGAAACAAAATATACTACACCCTAATTTATTGGATGGTCGATGGATATATATGTGGCTCTTCTTGCGTGGTAGTGTTACGATAGATGGAACAACTAGAGTAGATTTCACTCTGTCTCAGATCTAAAATGTTTTGTTTGAGTTCTTTATGTGTTAATGTGCTCAGGCTGCTTATAGGCAGTGCAAGATTTTAGTCAACACCTTCCTTGAAGGCATATATTTTTTGAGGGGTAACTAATTCTGTCAAACAGTTGGAGGCCGGTATGAGATGGAATCCACGTGAACTAGACTGCTTTCATTATTAACAATTTTCTTGCATCTGTGCCTAGCTTCAAATACAAGCATATGTTGAGTGTCTTAATTGATTGCAAGGGGTATGACAAATAGGTACTAACAATACCCAAATTTGTAACAAATTAGATGGCAAATTCCTTGGCATTCTCATTGACCACAAGCTTAATTTCCAGGGACACATTCTAAACATATCAAAAAAAGTTTCAAAAACTGTGGGCATTCTTTCTAAGATCAGATATTATGTACCACGCCCTGCCCTGGTGACTCTCTATTACTCCCTTATCTATC